TGTTAACAGTACATACCTGAGGACAAGAAAAGATGCAACATTTTGTTGATTTGCGCCTCATCAAAAAGGATTTAGGTTTTCATAAAGAGCAAAGACAATCAATGAGCCCAACACTCACTCACACATGTACCATGTGCAAAAAAAAAAAAAAAAAGCGTGAAAGCAGACCTCTATTTCAACGTTTAATAATTTCAAAAGAGCAGCATGGTTGTCATGTTGACTTCAACAAATTATCTGTCATGAATTGTCACCAGTGCCTTTTTCTCTTGCTGATACATTAAGAGTATTACGACCGACATATAAGGCAGTTCATGGAGAACTTCTTCAGTCTGCTACAACTGTTGAAAAACAACTTCTACTCACAAATTTCAAAACGTATGTCATTATTGGTGGACAAGGTCTTGTTCAAGCGAGTGGAAAACCAATAAATGTCATGAGTTTTGGAGATCTGGAAAATATATTCAAAACATGTTCGTTCGGTTACTTGAGTGATACTCGTTCTCGAGTCGATTTGGTCCTCGATCGCTATGAAGAAAAATTTATCAAAGTTCAAAGCGCATTAACAGTGTAGGGAAAAACAGACCAACCCGGTAAAGATAGAAAACAAAGCTGTAATCCTTACTAGTAAATTAGAAACAGTTTATTGATCTCCCAGAAAACAAACAATACTTGCAAAATTTCTTGAGCATGGAACTCATTGCTTAAGCAAAATCAACTTTGTAGAATTGTGAAATTCCATGAAAGAACCTCTGCGGAGTCCTCTCTTGGGACAGATGTACAGAAAAGGGCCTGCAGAATCATGCTCGGCGCAGAATACTCCGGCTACACCAACGCTCTTTCCACCCTGGAAATGCCATCCCTCAGTGACCTCCACCACCAAGCACTGGAAAGGTTTGGCAGCCAACTAATGCACCACCCTCGTCATCACCACCTCCTGCCACCAGCAGCCCCCCACTCACCTCGTGCAGTCCGCCACAACAACAAAATTCAGCCCAAAGGATTAACGGAAGGATATAATAGCTGGGTGCTTAGGGGTTAGGAAGACCACAAACAGGTTGCTCATGTAATTTTAGTGGCATGATTTGATAAAAGATGAGTCAGCATTTCTTAAAACCTGCTCTTTGCCTCAGAAAGTAGGTAAGCCAAATCAAATCATTCAACCTGTATCTTGAAACCCACTTTGCCTTTTTGTAAACTTTTAGAAAAATTGTAATAGACTGCATAGGACCTTTGCCAAAGAAACAGAGAGGAAATCAATATCTGTTAAGTATTATGTGTTCAGTTATGCGTTTTCCAGAAGCTATACCTATGTGGAGCATTCCCAGTATGAATATTGTGAGAGCATTAGTAAAATATTTATCGTGGATAAGACTACCCGAGACTATTCAGTCAGATCAGGGAAGTAATTTCACATCTAGTAAGCTTAAGAAAGTTTTGAAAGAGTTTCATATTAACCAGAAGTTGTCAAGTGCATATCATCCACAATCACAGGTTGCTTAGAGAGATAACACCAGACATTTAACAACACACTGAGAATGTACTGTATTGTGAAGAGATGGAACTAGATTGGGATGAGAGTTTCCTCTAAGAGATGCTGTACAGGAGTCAACAGGTTTCGGCCCATTTGAGTTAGTCTTTGGCCATGATGTGAGGGGATCTCTTAGTATGTTTCTGATTTTAAGACCACAGTGGTGAGGGCCAGAGAAATAGCAGCTGAGAAATTGAAAAAGTCTCAGAGTGACATGAAGATGTGGTATGATAAGGATGCCAGGGATAGAAATTTTAAACCTGGTGAGAAGGTGTTATTGCTGTTATCATTGCAAGGAAAGCCATTGAAGGCAAGGTTTAGTGGTCCATGGGTGGTTGAGAAAAAGAACAATGTGAACAAGCAAGAGAAATCAGTTGTGTTACATAAATCTGATGATATTATACCATGAAAGAAAAGTAAAAAGTGACAGAGAAAATGAGATACCAAGTCAAATACAGTTTGGTTGTTTGTAGGTAACTTATGAGGAGGTTGATGATGTTAAACTCAATAGATGTGAGGATGACGTTCTGCAGAATTATGTTGTAATGGTTATGTTAAATTGTAACTTTGACCATTTAGTCCAGGGGTTCCCAAGCATTTTCCACTGCGACCTCATCTAGAGCTGTCACCTTATCCAGTGCGACCCCTAAGTCACTGCCATGGCCCGTGGTGAATATATATATATATATATATATATATATATATATATATATATATATATATATATATATATATATATATATATATATATATATATATATATATATATATATATATATATATGTATATATATATATATTGATAAAAATCACACAGGGGAAAGGCATGGGGAGGCATTCCTCTCTCGAGAAGTCAGTTCAAAAGATGTCAATGTCTTTAATCTGCGAGGGGAATACAACACGTCAAAACTCGTGTAGAAGATATACATATAGATAGAATATTCATAATTGTAGAAATGTAAAGAGAGGAAGTTTGGTAGCGTGGCCGGTGCAAAGTAGGAAGTCAACAGCGAATTACCTGAAGGAAAACCCGGAGAAAAAACGAAATGCAGAGCCAAGTAATAAAAGATTTAGTTGAGATTTGAGTGCTTGATGAAGATGCCTTAGGCTTATGTGAGAGTGAGCCTTATAAGGATGAGAATATAGGTAAAATGAAGTTGAAAGCGGATAAAGAGAAAAGAGCACACGAGTTAAGGATAAAAGAAATAGAAAGAGAGGAGGAAAGAGAAAAGGAAAGGCTATTTATATAAGAAAGAGGGGCGAAAGAAAGTGAATAAAATTAGAAGGAAAAAACCAGTCTTTATTAAGTTCTGTGCTCTGCTATGTATATCCTAAGGTATTCCCGTTAAGAAGTATTACTGCCCAAGTTGTTGTTGCTTCTTTAACCAGGTTTTTCTCCCAGTATGGCGTGCCTCGGGGTGTTCAATCTGATCAAAGGACGAACTTTACCTCTAAGGTGTTTAAAGAAATGATGCTGGAGTTAGTAATTAAGCAGTATCTTGCCACAGATTATCACCCAGAGAGTCAAGGGGCCTTGGGGCGCTTCCATCAGATGTTAAAATTTATGTTAACAAAGTATTGTGTAGAGCAAAGTAAGGGCTGGGATGAGGGAGTGCATTTTTTGCTGTACAATAAGTTACCCGGTCCTGTCCCCAGGGATCATTGGGATTTCCTTTCTCCTTAGTTCATGGACATTCTGTTAGAAGGACCTCTAGAGGTCCTAGAAAAAACATGGATAGGAAAGAATGTAAAAGATCCTTTTACTCAATATGTAAAGGGATTTAGAGAACGTCTGGGGAAAGCCTACAAGATGGCCCATGAAAACTTAGTAGAGACAAATGAATGACAGGTATGATATAAAAATTCAAAAACGAAGTTTTGAGCCTGCCTGTATATGAGAAGCCAATGTAAGAAAATTTTCGAGGACCTTCTGTAATAGCTAGGAAAATTAATTATTTGTTACATAATCCAAGCACACGAAAGAAAGAAACAAAGGTTCATTTTAATCTAATTATACCGGGCCTGGATAGAGATCAGCATAGTGTTACTTTGAATGTAAGTGTTGATGTTCGTCCTAAAGAAGACCAAGCGCTTGAAATTATGGAACCAAAATTTTGTAATAGTGATATCCTGAAAAATCCTCTCAAGAAGTTCTCCCACCTTTCGCAGTCAGAAGTGGATGATTTGTACAGTCTCTGATATTTGGAGACATGCCGAAGCCGTGCAGAGCAGTGGAGCATGATATTGAACTTGTGGACGGTGCTTGTCCCGTAAAGTAGTCCCTTTTATAAAATTAATCCTCGTTAGAGGGTGCTCATGGGGAAAGGGGGTGGACTACAGTACTTGCTATATAAAATATGGATTAGCGGAGCCAAGCGACAGTGAATTTCGTCTCTTAATTTACTAAATAATCACAGTTATGTTTCGAGCACTCTTATGATGATAAGTTGTCCCAGAGACAAGTAATATTGTAAATTCAAAGAAGATAATTGAAATGGACAAGAATCACAATCTTAAGAAAATGAGGTGTGATCGTCATATAGTGTTTGTTTCTGTACATGCGTCGCAGAGAGAGATACCTTGTCATAAGGCTTTGTCTATTGAATAATGTATTTTTAGACAAACATTTAGTTTGAACAATATGAGACATTTTTGGTTTAGGGGGGGATTTATTTAATAGCTAACTAGTTATTAGACGGCCTTTAAGTATTCACAATATGAGTAATTCTTAGTGGATATTCATTCTCAAAAGGTAGCTTGAAGACAGGTTTAATATTATGGTTATAGCATATTGAAAGTGATCTTAAAGTATTTCTAAACTTGAGTAATTATTATGATCATTATAAAGAACAGGATGTTGGGATAGCTCCATATGTCGCCTTGGGTCTGTAACAATGATGTAAGGAAAAACAATATCTGTGTTCCCGGATATTAGGCCGATGTTCCTTCTTCAATTGTTGTTGTACATTTACTATTTTGTGTGATAATGTAGTCTGTGGTTATTATATATGGACAGATATATGATAATTTCTATTAAACAATTTATATTCATTCCTGTTTAAGAAGTAATACATGTTTCATTTTAGTCTCAGAAGTGAACATCTTTATGTGTAAGATATTGTAATTTTCACATTTAAAATTATGAGACAATCAATGAGCTATTAGTGTGCGTTTCTATTATTTCCTTCACACTGACTATATGTTGTAGTAAATGATCCTCGCCGTGATCCTCAGTGGTGTAATCGCAGGAGGGAAGATATACAGTACCATAAATCTTCTGTTGTGGGTCCATGGAGATCGCCTTTTGAAGCACCAGGAGAGATTAGCACACGGTGTAGGGTACGTGGCATCAAAAAAACACGAGAGAAACTAAACTCAAAACAAAACTCCCATAAAACGACACACGTTAAACATATAAATTCAAATTTGATTAATATATATGATGGTAGGTTCAGAATATATAAAAAGACATAATTTCTTTTATTTATGTTTAGCTACATATTGCACAAAACTGCGGGGGTCGAATGGATACAGCGCTCGCCATCTGTTCCTTGGGTTATTGGGTCGATCCCCAAGCACCCCCGGTTAACACAACTGTAAATGGGTACTTAAGCTACAACCTGGTTAAGTGAATGCAGTCAAATGATGTAGCGGTCATACTGCCTCCTCGTGTACCGAAAGCTTAGTTCACAGTGTTTTGTATCCATAGACAGATATGCCCACGGGTCAAGCAATCGACTTCTCTTTTGGGTCCTCTTCACCAAGCTGTCAAAAAGAATCTAATTTTAGAGATGGGGAAGTCTAGGCGTTCGAGAGCAGAGCTGGCCATGCTACCTCCTTTATCACCGAAAAATCAAATCAATCTACAGCGTCCAGTATCCGTACTACCCCTAACTACCGATCAGCCTATGATAAAACCTTTAATATTTTTTTTCTTCATGATAAATCGAAATTACAATATTTTTAGTTGCCTGTTTAATTTCAAACGTGAATAAACATAGGTTATAATACAGAGATATTAACAACAGTGATATTAAATAGATATAGTCAACTTTTGGTAACCAAGTGTAACATTTTCAAACTTAGAAAACATTGTTAATTGCTGCTAATTAAGATTTTATAATTCATTCAGGTAATTAATTGTTCACTGAGCATTTTATACCTTAAGTCTAACCATCAATGTGTTATGTAAGATCATCTGTGTCATGAATTCTGTTTTGTCTAAGTCCTTTTAGTATATAATGGACATAATCACTTACGTGAAGATTAACACCGCAGACAATTTCCAGACAAAAACTCAGTAAGCTGAGGAAGTATCCACCTGCGAGAACCACGAAAATTCCCTAAAGGAACATAACTTATTAATTGTCAAGAGCAAAATATTAAATACACACACATATATATATATATATATATATATATATATATATATATATATATATATATATATATATATATATATATATATATATATATATATATATATATTAGAAATAAAAATGTATATCACATACCGTAAATATATATCATATTAATTCGAAATGAGGATCCTATGTTTAGGTGTAATAGAAGAATGTTTTACCCATAAGTTGGACAGGTAGAGGGAGGAACTGATGGATATTTTTGACGGAGGATTGAGGCAGTAAGTATAATTCGGAAGGGCAGACTTTATCCAGTAGTTGTACAACCCTGCCTCGGTCATTGCTAACACCCTGTGGGAAAAATATGCAAAATTTCGATTCATACGTTTGAAATGATAATTGAACAGAGTACTTGAAGATGCATATTAGTTAAATGATTAATAGTGAACTAATAACTGCTATAGAAGAAATGGAATGGAGATTATGTCTAGAAACTGTGAAACTAAACTAGCAAAGGTAATTTCAGCCTATTCCACCTATACTGCAAGGTGTATATAGAGTTGCTGAGCTTCCGATTCTTAGTAATCAGCATTATGTTAAACTGGTAAGCTGTTCCAGCTTCGTTAACACCATCAACAGCTTACTCAATTAGTGGCTGTGTATGCAACAGCTGGTGTAGAGGGAACCTATACCTCCAGTCCGGGTAGGAATCTAAACCGTGACCATTCATGTGGAAGACAAGGTACAGAGCCTAATGTAGATATATATATATATATATATATATTTATATATATATATATATATATATATATGTGAGCTATACAAGGAAAAAAGTGTGATAACATATATGGCATACTGTAAACTTGTATTCTTGATCTTGCAAGGATAAATTTTCTTACTTGTCATTTAAGGGATACAGAAGAGGACTGTCTTTGGGAACTATCATGCCATTCAGCTTTGGCATTAAATGTCCCCTGAGCTTATAGAAGTCACACCGTCCTGTAAAATTAATTATGTTCAGTATACGAGTGTATATATATATATATATATATATATATATATATATATATATATATATATATATATATATATATATATATATATATATATATATATATATATATATATATATATATATATATGTGTGTGTATTCAGAAATTTTGGTGTGATATTTAGATCGTTAGAGCGAGAATAACCGATCTGCGAAACAGGAAAGCATAAGTACTGTAGGCCTAGCTGAGACACTCAAGCCGCGTGGCAAGAAATAAGCGGGAACGCCACCCAAGCGCGGTGGAAGCATTTTGAACTAGGCCTACTAAAATTAAACGTACTTTATCGAATTAATATGGACGCGATTCATGAAGCTAAGGGACTAATATTAATTTAAAGTTATTGTAGATCGTTTTTCAGTCTAGAAATGTTACGTGTGTCGCAAAGAAGCTATTATCACTTTTGTACTGACCATCACTAAGGTGTATAGAATTAAATTCTCTAATCAAACTTGCTTCAACCAGAAGTCTTTCTGAGACACATGATGATTTATACACTTCTAAACTGTTTTCCCAATCCATGGGATGATTATTGTTCCTTGTATGAACGAACAGTGCACTGCTTTCAGATGCAAGGATGATTTTTTTCCTAAGTCTTGTCTTCCAAGAAGATTAAGATATCTGGACAATCAAGCATTCTCTGAGTTGGATAAAGTGTTGCTGGACTCCCTTATCAAGGATTCAAGTAATAGAGTAAAATTGGCATTTAAACACAGTGCTCAGTATAAAGTGCTATGAAAAACAGTGTTTGTGTTGATAAGTGGCATATTATTCGTGATTTTGTCTATCAATTACTTAGTGAAAGTAACAAAGTCCAAAAAAGGAAATTAAATGCTAAATTAAAATTTCTGTATGACGAGAGTTACTGGTCTAAACTGAGTGATCCAAGTTTGTTCATAAACTTATCATCTTATGATCTACAGACAAAAAAGAAACTTGTTCTTGGATTTGGTAGGAAGTTTTCTATTGCTCAGCGCACCGTTAATCCACTTACTATTGCTGAAGGTATAATCAACCTGGAAAAGAATATGTCGATAGATGTTACAAATGAAGATATTTCCATCGCTAAAGGTTGTAGACATAGTGTTTTACGTAAGAAAATTGTTTCAAACTTTCCAAAAAGATTTGAAAGAGCCTTAAAAAATATAAACGAAATGAGAATATCCATATTACTAAGGCTGATAAGTCCAATGCTATTATAATTTTGGATAAAAGTGACTATAATGATAAAATGAATTCATTACTAAGTGATGACAGCACTTATTGTGAGCTTAGAAAAGATTCCCTGGAAAAATATTAATAAGTTATCTAACTCTAAAATGAGGGAGTTATTAAAAATGAACCCAGATCTCATCAAACAGATCTCTCAAATAAATCCCACTTTACCGTATATGTAGGGAGTGATCAAAACACAAGCTTAACAATCCATTACGTCCTATCGTGAGTTCTGTGGGTTCTGTTACGTACAAATTATCCAAGTGGTTGGTTAAGAGGCTATCCCCTCTCACAGGCCAAACATCTAATTCACATAAGAACATAAGAATGGAGGAAACTGCAGCGGGCCTATTGGCCCATATGAGCAGCCGACCTATGTTTGATCCAATTCAGCGTATTCCAGTTAATGATGATATTTGGTAACTTGTTCCATTCATCCACTACTCTGTTTCCAAACCAGTGTTTACCTATTTCACGCCTAAATCTAAATTTTTCTAATTTAAAACCATTGTTACGAGTTCGCTCCTGGTTGGATAGTTTGAGTACCTTTGTAATGTCCCCTTTGTTTAGCCCTGCCTTCCACTTATACACCTCTATCAGGTCGCCCCTCGCTCTACGTCTCTCAAGGGAGTGCAAATTAAGATGCTTTAACCTGTCTCTATACTCAAGGTTCCTAATGCCCGGGATTAGTCTTGTCATTCTCCTCTGAATTCTTTCCAAGGATTCTATATCCATTCTGTAATACGGTGACCAGAACTGAACTGGGTAATCCAGGTGTGGTCTCACAAGAGCAAGATACAGTTTTAGGATGACCTCGCTAGTCTTGTAACTAACACTCCTTTGTATGAACCCAAGTATTTTATTAGCCTTGTTACGAGCAAAAACACATTGTTTACTTGGCTTAAGGTTCCTACTTATCATTACTCCTAAATCTCTCTCGCAGTCGGATTTCTCTATGGCATCGTTGTTCATCTGGTATCTGGTTTCCCTGTTTATATCTCCTATACTGAGTACTTTACATTTGTCGAAGTTGAATTTCATCTGCCATTTTTCAGACCATTCGAAAAATTTGTTTAGATCTTCCTGTAGTTTTGCCGAGTCCTCGTCACATTTGATAACACCTCCTATTTTAGTGTCATCAGCAAATTTACTTATGTTACTGTCAATGCCGATATCTATGTCGTTTATGTATATAATAAATAATAATGGTCCAAGTACTGAGCCTTGGGGAACTCCACTTGTGACGTTGCTCCAATGGGACTTAGTGCCGTTAATGCTCACTCGCTGTTTCCTGTTCTGTAACCACGCCCTAATCCATTTAAGGATGTCACCTTTGATGCCATGAGCGTCTGCCTTTCTAATTAGTCTTTCGTGGGGGACTCTGTCGAAGGCTTTGCTAAAGTCGAGATATACCACATCATAATTGTGCCCCTCGTCCACCGATTCGAAAAACTGATGAAAAGAATGTTAATAGATTAGTTAGGCAAGAACGTCCGCTTGTGAAGCCATGCTGGGAATCATTGATCAATCGGTGCTTCTCCAGGTGATTTCGAATAGAGTTTGAAATGATTGCTTCCAGTAATTTGCCTACTATTGATGTTAGACTGATTGGGCGGTAGTTCGAGGATAGTGATCTATCCCCCTTCTTGAAAATCGGTATTACATTCGCTATCCTCCAGGATTCTGGTACTACACCTGTTTTTAATGACATGTTAAACAACTTTGCTAAGGGCATACTAAGCTCTTCCTTACACTCCTTTAATACTCTGGCAAATATCTCATCGGGACCAGGTGACTTATTAGGCTTTAGTTTGTCTATTTGCTTACTAACATCGTTACTAGTCACTACTATCTCACTTAATTTGTTTTCTTCACTATACACAACATATACACAACAGCAATGATTTAATTGATAAACTCAAGAAACACAATGAACCATGTGAATTAATAAGTTTTGATGTAAATTCACCAGTAAATGACCTACTTTCATTCTTTAAAGATAAGTTGCCTCTGTTAGATTTAACTAATGAACATGATACATTTCTCAAATTGATAGAGTTATGTGTTACTGACAATGTTTTTAGAGCAAATGGAAAGTTTTACAAACAAATATTTGGCATGATCATGGGTAATTGTCTTTCTGCTCCTCTAGCCTGTATTTATAAGGATCTTTTTGAGGCTAGATTACTACCCAATGGTATAGATATGTAGATGATGTTCTTTGTCTATGGCCTAGAAACAGTGACCCACTGGAATTCTTAGACAAGCTTAATGATCTTGTCCCAAGTATTACCTTCAAAACTGAAAGAGAAATAAATGGATCTCTTCCATTTCTTAATATGCTTATCATGAGAAATGGACATAACTATAAATTTAAGATGTACAGAAAGCCTGCACATGTAGACTGTTTCATACATTTTTTATCGAGTCTCCATGAGTCTACCAAAATGTCATTTGTTTCTGCAATGTTTTTGAGGTGTTTACGTATTTGTGAACCTGAATTTATTGATGAAATACTGCAACACATTGAGTCCATTGCACAAAAACTTGGGTACCCCTCATTGTTTGTTGATCGTTGTTTTAAAAGGGCTAAAAAATCCTTTCATTCTACTCAAACTAGGGAAGTTCCTACATTTAAGAATTTGTCCCGTTAGCTCAGTCCCGTAAATTATTAAACATTAACGTTGTTTTTAAGTATGACTCAACCATTACTAATATATTAATTAAGAATAGCCCAACCTTGAATGTAAATGGAAGTGTTTACTGCATTCCATGTAGCAACTGTAATGGAAATTATGTAGGACAGACTGGGAAAGCATTACAACTCAGAATTAAACAGCACAAGTACAATATCAGAACAGCATCTGAAAGCAGTGCCCTGTTCGTTCATGTTAGGAACAATCATCATCCCATAGATTGAGAAAACAGTTTAGAAGTGTATAAATCATCATGTGTCACAGAAAGACTTAAGGTTGAAGCAAGTTTGATTAGAGAATTGAATTTTATAAACCTTAGTGATGGTCAGTACAAAACTGATATGTTACACAAATTTATTTGTCAGTGGCCCAAGAAAAAAAATATTTGAAAGCATTGGAGTTAGATGTAGGATAGATGATTAGTGGGTCCCATATTTTTTACCTGACCTTTTTTTTTAAGCTCCTATTATGTTTGCGGTGTGTTGGTGTGTGGATTAGTGGATGTCATGTTTTTGACCTGACCTCATGTTTTGTAAGGTCACCCTGTGTACTTAAGCCTTTCTCAGTCTTTGTAATTCAGTTGCGTCTAAGGATGTCTTTGATAAAGACGAAAGTTAAGGAAGGTTCTTCATTGTTTCCCTTTTTCCTGTGGGGACCATCTACGTGATACGGGTGGTCCCCATTAGAGGTTCACGGCGCCATAAGCTCGTTGAACAGGCTTTGTGTGAAATATAACAAAGTCCAGGACTGCTTTTAGTATCCTGGTGGTCCAGCGGTTAGCGTTCCCTGGTCACAGTCATGGGCTCGTGGGCCGTGGGTTCGAATCCTGGCGGGTTGAGGTGTTGATTGTATGTAGAAGTCCATGACGTGCTTTATTGGGCTAATGAAATATATATATATATATATATATATATATATATATATATATATATATAATTACATGCAATCAACACCTCAACCCGCCGAAACCCACGGCCCACAACCCTGACCAAAAACACTCCGCTGGAACTTGCATTCCCCGGTCACAGTCATGGGCTCGTGGGCCATGGTTCGAATCGTGGCGGGTTGAGGTGTTGATTGTATGTAGAAGTCCGCGTGCTTTATTGGGCTAATGAAAATATATATATATATATATATATATATATATATATACTATACATACAGTCTGCGCGGAATATTAAATCGCGATAGGGCCGACGAAATAGGTTCTCGCAAAAATACGATTATATGTTGTGAAGGCTGTCCTGGGATGGGAGATGTCAAAACGCTTGGTTTGCTGGCAAGTGGTGACATTTGTCAACTGAGAACACGTCACGACTTGTAGTCAGTGCGCCTCTGGCAACTGTGAGGGGAAGATTTATTTTTTTTTTTTTTTACTTTTATCCTCTTCGCCACTGATCGGCTTGTTAGCCGCTTGGGCGATCGGTCACGTCTCTTTTCATTTATATTCTTCACCAAAAGATCGGCTCGCTAGCCGCCCGGGCGATCGGTCACGTCTCTGTCACGCACTGTTGGCAAATACTGGGCATGCACCGGCTCCTGAATGTACCTGAACCCGCTCCAGTGTTGGTCAAGTCTTCTCTTGAAAGAGCTCACACTCGGTGCCGTCACAACACTCTCTGGTAGATTGTTCCAAGAGTTTACAACCCTCACTCCGAAAAAGTTTGCCCTCACGGTTTTCTGGACTTGCGGCTTCTTCAATCTTGAGCTGTGACCCCTTGTGGGGCGAGCGTCCGCCAGCTCCAAGTAAGGACACTCAACTGAGTAGTGCCCCCTGAGATGCTTATACACCTCAACTAGGTCCCCCCTTGCCCGTCTGTAGTATAAGCTAGGCAAGTTCAGGCGCTCCAATCTCTCAGGGTAGCTGAGGTGCCGAAGTGCAGGCACCAGTCTGGTGGTCCTCCTTTGAACATATTCAACCAACTGACAGTCCCTAGCATATCTCGGGGACCAGTTGGGGTTCCTGCGCCATGTAGCCATGTTTTGTCTAGTTTACGGTGCATTAACCCGACATAGTGGCCATCAGAGATGTCCAGGTGGGTTACTACAAGAGACGATATTGCAGCAGTGATTGCATTGTACAAAACGAACCATGTACTGAGAGAAATTTCGGTTCAGACTGGTGTGGCATTACGAATTGTTCAAAATCTTGTCAAACGTTTCCGTGACCTTGGAGAGGACGAGCTACCAGCTCCATTACCTAAGTCTGGTAGGCCAAAATTATTGTCTCCACGGACACTTAAGGTTGTTTCTCGACAAGTTCGGTCCAATCCCTCACTCACAGCACGTGAAGTGAAAGAGAGAAACCCCAGTCTTTTGAGTCACGTCTCTTTACGTTGTGTTTAACAAGCCCTGCACGATGACCTGGGATTTAAGAGCTTTCGTGCCCGCCGTAAACCTCTGTTGACAAAGAGACAGAAGGAAAATAGAGTGAGATTTTGCAAGAAATATGAAGTGTGGGATTTAGAGTCATGGAGTAGGAGCGAGGAGCTTCTTGATAAGTTCAAGGCAGCTATAGATCGCATTAGGACTAAGGGAGGGATCCCTATCATATGTGGTGTCCTGCCTAGAAGGAGAGTTGGCAGTGAATGGTTGTCAGGGGCAGTTGGTGTCAACGACCGTCTTGGCAGATGTTGCAAGTCAATATCAGTCCCATTCATTGACAACTGGGACAACTTCTACGGCAGAAGGGACCTTTATGCTAGGGATGGGGTGCACCTGGCTGGGTTTCTAGAGGGGGCAGTTCAAAAGATATCGAAGTCTTTAAACTGCTAGGGGGGTATATGGGCACGGGGGTGGGGGAAACTGCAGTGGGAGAGGGTAAACAAAGTGAAAGATTACAGGGATATAGTGTTAGGAATGATGACAAAACTAAATTAGACACGGAGTTTAAAACTAAACGCGGTAAAGGGAGGACTCAGAACACGACTAACTTAAATGTCTACTATGCGAACAATAGAGTATGAGAAACAAATTGGATGATATTAGGGCCTTGGTATGTACCGAAAAAATTGATATAATAGCATTCACTGAAACATGGATCAACCTAGACTCACATGAGTTACCGGTCGAATACCAAATTGCGGGTTACAAATTGTTCCATACCGATAGGCAGACCAGGAAAGGAGGCGGAGTAGCAATCTATGTCAGGGATAATCTGAAGTGAGAAATAAATAAGGACATAAAAACTGAACGGAATACAGAAACAATTTGGATGGAATTAATCGACGGTAGGGAAAATTAATCACAGGGATAATATATAGACCTCCCAATCTTGATAGAGTCAATGAGAGACTTATCTGGGATGAAATGAGCAGGGCTTCCATACACAACAAAGTCTGTATAGGAGGCGACTTTAACCTTGGCCAAATAGATTGGACTGACCTTACGGGTAACTCAGAAGCAGAGGATTTTCTCGAGGCGATCCAGGACTGTTTCCTAAGTCAACATATAACCGAACCCACCCGGGGTAATAATATACTCGATTTAGTTCTGTCGAACAGAGAAAACCTCATTAGCAATGTCGAGGTAGGAAGCGAACTTGCAAACAGAGATCACAAAGAAATTAGATTCCAGTTAGATTTTCAGGGCAGACGTAAGGAAAATTCCACTAAAGTACCAGATTTCAGAAGGGCAAACTTTGACAGTTTAAAGAGGCAGCTGAGAGAGGGGCTGTCGCGCTTGGCCGTGAACCTGACAGATGACACCGACCTGATAACGATATCTGAGATTGCCGAGTTCCACGACAATTTAAATAATGAGTTACTTGATGCACAAAGGCAGAACATACCATACAAAAAACTCAGATCAGACAACAATGACCCTAAATGGATAAATAATTATTTAAAGAACATCATTGCCCAAAGGAAGGCTATAGGTAGAAGGATAAATCGTGGCGAAATTTACCTCCGGAATTATTATAAGGTATTGGCGAGTAAGGTTAAAACCGAGATAAGGAAAGCCAAGAGGAATAATGAGGTAAGGATAGCAAGGGAGGCGAAGACAAACCCCAAGGGATTCTACGAAATGTATCAAACTAAAACACGAGAAAAGATTGGACCAATACGGTCAGATACCGGCGAGCTCACTGATAACAACGGAGAAATGAGCAATAATATGAATAAATATTTTTCAACAGTTTTCACCACCGAAAATTTAAACATGATACCCGAGGCACCGACTCTATTCAGAGATAGTGAAGAAAACAAATTAAGCGAGATAGTAGTGACTAGGAACGATGTTAGTAAGCAAATAGACAAACTAAAGCCTAATAAGTCACCTGGTCCCAATGAGATATTTGCCAGAGTATTAAAGGAATGTAAGGAAGAGCTTAGTATGCCCTTAGCAAAGTTGTTTAACATGTCCTTAAAAACAGGTGTAGTACCAGAATCCTGGAGGATAGCGAATGCAATACCGATTTTCAAGAAGGGGGATAGATCACTATCCTCTAGCTACCGTCCCATCAGTCTAACATCAATAGTAGGCAAATTACTGGAAGCAATCACTTCAAACTCTATTCGAAATCACAGGAGAAGCACCGATTGATCTATGATTCCCAGCATGGGATGAGGGGCACAATTATGATGTGGTATATCTCGACTTTAGCAAAGCCTTCGACAGAGTCCCCCACGAAAGACTAATTAGAAAGGTAGAAGCACATGGCATCAAAGGAAATATCCTTAAATGGATTAGGGCGTGGTTACAGGACAGGAAACAGCGAGTGAGCATTAACGGCACTAAGTCACATTGGAGCAACGTCACTAGTGGAGTTCCCCAAGACTCAGTACTTGGACCATTATCATTTATTATATACATAAACGACATAGATATCGGCATAGACAGCAACATAAGTAAATTTGCTGATGACACTAAAATAGGACGTGTTATTAAATCTGACGAGGACTCCGCAAAACTACAGGAAGATCTAAACAAATTTTTCGAGTGGTCTGAAAAATGGCAGATGAAATTCAACGTGGACAAATGTAAAGTACTCAGTATAGGAGATGAAAACAGGGAAACAGGATACCTGATGAACAATGATGCCATAGAGAAATCCGACTGAGAGAGAGATTTAGGAGTAATGATAAGTAGGAATCTTAAGCCAAGTAAACAATGTGTTTTTGCTCGTAACAAGGCTAATAAAGTACTTGGGTTCATACAAAGGAGTGTTAGTTACAAAACTAGCGAGGTCATCTTAAGATTATATCTTGCGCTTGTGAGACCTCACTTGGATTACGCAGTTCAATTCTGGTCACCGTATTACAGAATGGATATAGAATCCTTGGAAAGAATTCAGAGGAGAATGACAAGACTAATTCCGGGCATTAGGAACCTTGAGTATAGAGACAGGTTAAAGCATCTTAATTTGCACTCCCTCGAGAGACGTAAAGCAAGGGCCGACCTGATAGAGGTGTATAAGTGGAAGTCAGGGCTAAACAAAGGGGAGATTACAAAGGTACTCAAACTATCCAACCAGGAGCGAACTCGTAATAATGGTTTTAAATTAGACAAATTTAGATTTAGGAGTGAAATAGGTAAACACTGGTTTGTTCTGCTAATGGTTTCCAAAGTTAGCGAATCCGCTAATCCGCTAACGAGAAAGTTAGCTTTGCTAATTAAAGGTTAGCGGAACAGTGCCCACCACTGAATATCAGCATATACCTGAATCACGTGCACCTACAGTGATTTACTTGCATATATATATATATATATATATATATATATATATATATATATATATATATATATATATATATATATATATATATATATATATATATATATATATATATATATATATGTGTGTGTGTGTGTGTGTGTGTTGTGTGTGCGTGTGTTTATTGAAAATGATTAAATATAATTGTAATGAGGATTACCTGTTTCAGAGAAGAGTTTGTCCAACGTCATATGCATTATAGTGTCATACATTAAGATGACATGCCCGCCGCGTCTCACCAGCGTGTCTGTGTTCCTGTACACCTCACCAAATCCTTTACGCTTGACGCGACCTGACATCTCTAAGTCTGCCAACTCCCCCATGATTCCATATTTTGACCTCTGAAAAACACACACACACACATAAGAACATAAGAAAATAAGGGGTCTACAATTGGCAGTTTGGCCTGTTCATGGCAGCTCCTGTCGAGAGTATTGGTTAGTGCTTCCTGTGAACAGGATTGTGCCCTTCTGAGGGCAGATTTAGAGAGGGCCAAGGAAGATATCTTGAAATTATAGGAAGAGATGGCGAGGATGAAGGAAGAAACGAGGCAAGGAAAGCCGGTGTCTGACGAAAACTCAGGTGAATGGAAGGTTGTGAGGAGAGGGACAACTAAACTGGTGGTGAAAAAACACACCAAGGATACAACAACAACGACAACAACAGCTAAGTGTACCAACTCTTTCAGTCCCTTGATAGATGAATTGGACGTAAATATAGTCAGGGACAGGGCTGAGAAGGAAGGTACGAAAATTTTGATTGTTGGCGACTACCAAGTACGGTACCTGGACAGAGCTTTTTGTGGTAAAGATAAAAATAGGATGAGGGTGTGTTTGCCAGGAGCTGGGGTGGGAGATATAGTTGACAGGATGGACAATATCTTGTCTGGTAATGAGAACAAACCCATTACCTGCCTTAGTGCAGGAGGCAATGTTATTGGCCTGTGTAGGAGCGAGGAGCTTCTTGATAAGTTCAAGAAAGCTATAGAACGTATTAGGTCTAAGGGAGGGATCCCTATCATATGTGGTGTCCTGCCTAGAAGGAGAGTTGGCAGCGAATGGTTGTCAAGGGCAGTTGGTGTCAATGGCCATCTTAACAGATATTGCAAGTCAATATCAGTCCCATTCATTGACAACTGGGACAACTTCTACAGCAGAAGGGACCTTTATGCTCGGGATGGGTGCATCTTTCTAGGGATGGGGTGGCAACCTTGGCTGGGTCACTCGAGAGGGCAGTTCAAAAGATGTCAAAGTCTTTAAACTGCTAGGGGAACATATGAGCACGGGGTTGGAGGAGACCGCAGTGGGAGCGGGAAAACAAAGTGAAAGGTTACAGGGAAATAGTGCTAGGAAGTTTGACAAAACTAAATTAGGCAGGAAGTTAAAACCTAAACACGACAAAGAGAGGACTTAGAACACGACTAACTTAAATGTCTACTATGCAAACAGTAGAAGTATGAGAAACAAATTGGATGATATTAGGGCCTTGGTATGTACCGAAAGAGTCGATACAATAGCATTCACCGAAACATGGATAAACTTAGACTCACGTGAGTTACCTGTCGAATACCAAATTGCACGATACAAATTATTCTATACTGATAGGCAGATTAGGAAAGGAGGGGGAGTAGCAATCTATGTGAGGGATAATCTGAAGTGTGAAATAGATAAGGAATACAGAAACAATTTGGATAGAATTAATCAATGGTAGGGAAAAATTAATTACAGGAGTAATATATAGACCTCCTAATCTTGATAGAGTTAATGAGCGACTTATCTGGGACGAAATGCGCAGGGCTTCCAAATATAGCAAAGTCCGTAGAGTAGGCGATTTTAACTTCAGCCAAATAGATTGGACTGCCCTTACCGGTAACTCAGAATTAGACGATTTTCTTGAAACGATCCAGGACTGTTTCCTAAGTCAATATATAACTGAACCCACTCGGGGTAATAATATACTCGATTTGGTTCTGTCAAACAGAGAAAACCTCATTAATAATGTTGAGGTAGGGAACGAGCTTGTAAAAAGCGATCACAAAGAAATTAGATTCCAGTTAGAATTTCAGGACAGCCGTAAGGGCAAACTTTGATAGTTTGAAGAGGCAGTTGAGAGAGGGGGTATCACGCTTGGGGGTAAACTACATGACCTCACATGAGGTGACTTCACTCAATATACCAACAGAGGGCGACCTCACCCTACCCAGAGACCTGACGATTGAGATTGACCTAATAATGAGATCTGAGGTTGCCGAGTTCCACGACAATTTAAATAATGAGTTATTTAATGCACAAAGGCAGAACATACCATACAAAAAACTCAGATCAAACAACAATGACCCTAAATGGATAAATAATTATTTAAAGAACATTATTGGACAAAGAAAGGCTATAGGTAGGAGAATAAATCATGATGAAGTTTACCTCCGAGATTACTATAAGGTATTGGCCGGTATTGTTGAGACCGAGATAAGAAAATCCAAGAGGAATAATGAGCTGAAGATAGCAAGGGAGGCAAAGTCAAACCCCAAGGGATTCTGTCAAATGTATCAAACTAAAACACGAGAAGAGATTGGCCCAATACAGTCACATACCGGCGAGCTATCTGATAGCGATGGAGAAATGAGCAATAATCTGAATTAATATTTTTCAACAGTTTTCACCACAGAAAATGTAAACATGATACCCGAGGCACCGGCTCTATTCAGAGATAGTGAAGAAAACAAATTAAGCGAGATAGTAGTGACTAGTAACGATGTTAGTAAGCAAATAGACAAACTAAAGCCTAATAAGTCACCAGGTCGCGACGAGATATTTGCCAGAGCATTAAACGAATGTAAGGAAAAGCTTAGTATGCCCTTAGCAAAGTTGTTTAACATGTCCTTAAAAACAGGTGTAGTACCAGAATCCAGGAGGATAGCGAATGTAATGGGGAGATAGATCACTATCAAAAAGGGAGATTAGATCACTATCCTCTAACTACCGTCCAATCAGTCTAACATCAATTGTAGGAAAATTACTGGAAGCAATTATTTCAAACTCTATTGGAAATCACCTGGAGAAGCACAAGTTGATCAATGATTTCCAATATGGCTTCACAAGCGGGCGTTCATGCCTAACTAATTATTAACATTCTTTTCATCAGTTTTCGAATCAGTGGACGAGGGACGCAGTTGTGATGTGGTATATCTCGACTTTAGCATAGCCTTCAATAGATTCCCCTACGAAAGAATAATAAGGAAAGTGGAGGCTCATGGCATTAAAGGTGATATTCTAAAATGGATTAGGGCATGGTTACAGGACACAAAACAGCGAGTGAGCATTAACGGCACTAAATCCCAATGGGGCAACGTCACTAGTGGAGTTCGGCAAGGCCCAATACTTGGACCATTATTATTTATTATATACATAAGCGACATAGATATCGGCGTAGACAGCAACATAAGTAAATTTGCTGATGACACTAAAATAGGACGTGTAATTAAATATGACGAAGACTCCGCAAAACTACAGGAAGGTCTAAACAAATTTTTCCAATGGTCTGACAAATGGCAGATGAAATTCAATGTAGACAAATGTAAAGTACTCAGTATAGGAGATGTAAACAAGGAAACGAGAAACCAGATGAACAACGATGTTATTGAGAAATCCGACTGCGTGAGAGATTTAGGAGTAATGATAAGTTGGAATCTTAAGCCAAGTAAACAATGTGTTTTTGCTCGAAACAAAGCTAATAAAGTACTTGGGTTCATACAAAGGAGTGTTAGTTACAAAACTAGCGAGGTCATCCTAAAACTATATCTTGCGCTTGTGAGACCTCACTTGGATTACGCAGTTCAATTCTGGTCACCGTATTACAGAATGGCTATAGAATCCTTGGAAAGAATTCAGAGGAGAATGACAAGACTCATCCCGAGCATTAGGAACCTCAAGTACAGAGATAGGTTAAAGCATCTTAAATTGCACTCCCTCGAGAGACGTAGAGAGATCGTCCCTCTCTCTACGTCTCTCGAGGGAGTGCAATTTAAGATCGAGGTGTATAAATAGAAGTCAGGGCTAAACAAAGGGGACATTACAAAGGTACTCAAACTTTCCAACCAGGAACGAACACGTAACAATGGTTTTAAATTAGACATATTTAGATTTAGGTGCGAAATAGGTAAACACTGGTTTGGAAATAGAGTACTGGACGACTGGAACAAGTTATCAAATATCATCATTAACTCGAATACGCTGGATAGCTTCAAACTTAGGTTGGATGGATAGATGAGCAATATTGGCTGGGTGTAAACGGGACTGCCCAGTATGGACCAATAGACCCGCTGCAGTTTCGCCCATTCTTATGTTTATGTCCTTATGTTACTACCAGTCTTTATCTTCCATGAGTCATCTAGCCTCTTTTTAAAGCTTTCCAGCATTCCAGCATTTACTATAAAGTTGCTAAGCTTGTTCCACTCGTCCACCACCCTATTTGTGAACCAGTTTCTTCCTATCTCCCTCCTAAACCTAAACTTATCCAACTTAAATTCGTTGCTCCGAGTCCTCTCCTGCTCGGATATTATAAGAACTTTATCTATATCTCCTTTATTGATTTCTTTCACCCACTTAAATGCTTCTATCATATCTCCCCGCACTCTTCGTCTTTCCAGGGAATGCAAGTTTAGTTTCTTTAACCTTTCCTGATATGGAAGGTTTCTAAGTTCCGGAATCATTTTAGTCATTCTTTGCTGCACCGACTCCAGTGAATTGCTATCCATTCTATAATAAGGGCACCAGAACTGAACAGCATAATCGAGGTGTGGCCTGTCTAGCGCAAACTTGCTTATGTCACTGCAGATCCCAGTATCTAGATCGTTTATGTAAATTATAAACAAGAGCGGGCCCAGTACTGACCCCTGGGTAAACTCACTGATTACACAGCCCCATTCGGATTTAACACCATCTACTCTGACCTTCCGTGTTCTTTTGGTGAGCAATGATTTTATCCAATTTAAAACTTTCCCCTAGATACCATGAGCCTTAACTTTTCTCAGAAGCCTCTGATGCGGTACTCTGTCAAACGCTTTGCTAAAGTCTAAGTAAATAACATCGACTTTCCTAAAAAAACGTCAGCAGATTTGTTAGAAAAGATTTTTCCTTTGTAAATCCATGTTGAGAGTCATAGAATAATTTGCTTTTCTCTAAATGCGATTGAATGCTATTTACTAAAATTGATTCAAGAAATTTCACTCCTACTGACGTCAAACTTAGCGTACCGGTAATTTGACGCTGATGCTCTTTCTCCCTTTTTGAATATAGGTACAACATTTGCCTGTATCCACAAGTCTGGCACAACTCCCTTTGTCTAATGATTTTGTAAAAAAAACTTACGAGAGGTCCTCTTGTCTGTTTTTACACTTTTCAAAACTCGATGGAAAATTTCCTCTGGCCCTGGGGATTTTGTCTTCTCTAAATTTATTTATCTTCTTAAAAACTTCATATTTCTGATTGTGACATTCTTTAATTCTCTTTTTCAATATCAGTTCCACCTCTGGCATTTCCTCGTGAGTTTTTTCAGTGAAAACTGATAAGACCTAACTGTTTAATGCTTTGCTTATTGTCCCACTTTCATCGATCACTTTCCCTCTCTGACTTTAAATGCCCCACTTTGTCCTTGACCTTTGTCCTATGTACCTGGAAAAATCCCTTGGGATTCGCCTTGGATTCTCTTGCTATCCTGATCTCGTAGTCTCTCTTTGCCTTCCTTACATTTTTCTTAACATTCCTAGATAGTTCATTATACCTATTTCTGAGCTGCTCCTCCCCTCCCTTTCATTTCTTATAAATTCCTTTACTTATTCCTATGTCATGTTTAAGTTTTTTGGTCATCCACCTTGCCTCATTCTCATTTGACCTAATTTTTCTGTATTGTATATTTTTTTGTTCGTGTGCTTCACGTATTATACTAGTGAATATATTATAGTCATGATCAATTGTTGTGTGGCCAGTGACCTAACCTGTTCTTACCGGGAACTGACCTGACTGTTTCCGGTACAAGAGCGGGCCCAGTACCGACCCTTGGGTAACCCCACTGGTTACACAGCCTCACTCAGATTTAACACCATCTACGCTGAACCTCCGCCGTTTGCCATTTAACGAGAGCCTCCTTGTAGCTAAGTTTCTTGCTTCAGCGAACCTTGGCTACCCTGCACTCCTCCTTCCACTTAGGACAGGTACGTTCGGCAGAGGAGTGTGGGCTGCCGCAGGCAGAGCACTTTTTCTCGGTGTTGGGACAGGAGGTGTAGCGGTGCTCGGAGGCACCGCACAGGGATCATAAATCCTCCTGGCCTTGCACTTGTTGATGGTGTGTCCGTAGTTCTGGCATTTGAAGCAACGCTTGGGTCGACAGTAGGGCGTGACTTGGACGGTTTCCCAGGCCAGTTGGACTTCCGGGGGCAGAGATTCTTGGTGTCCGACCAGAGTCGTCGTTTCGGACAGCTTCTTGACAGAGTGGAGCTGATCCAGGAAAAGTTTGTTAATCTCGTCTCGGTTCAGGTGTTCAATTTCGGCGTGGGAGATCACTCCCAGCTTCAGGTTGTCGTACTGGTGGAATGTCGGTCTCACTGGAATGCCGTTGATAGAGGTGTACTCCGACAGTTTTACGGGTTGGCCACAATCGGCGAAAGTGATCTTTAGGTCTCCATACAGCTTCAGGCGTTCCACTTTTGTCACCCTTTTGATCCCTTCAGAGTTAAAAAAAATATTTGAGAACTAAGAAGTTGGGTTTTTTCGGGCAGGTTTTCTCAGTTGGGTGCAGCAGGATCACCTTGGAGTCGTCCATGTATATGACCAAGGTCACTTGCGCTCGATGTGAGCTGGGTGCAGTAGTGCGGGCAGACTCCATGCAGCCACCAAGCGTGGGGTCGCCCCCCGTTGATGTCTTCCCCGCGTAGGTGGTCTGGGCTGTGAGTGTTGTCCAGGAGTTTGTCCTAAACCTTCTTCCCTAGGCGATGGAACATGACGTTAAGGTTTCTCTGTTTTATTTCTCAGGTGGATGTTTTCCACTGTCTCCTCGTAGGGTGACGCTTGGCCACTGGCTGACCCCAGGCACTTATTTTGGAAGCTCTGTAGTTGTTGTAGTCTGGTCTTCTCGAGTGTGACAAGTGGTACGTGTGGGTACTCCAACACAGGTCTCAACAGTGGCTTGTAGTGGTGGACTTGTATTTTCTCAGGCATTAATTTAAAACGTTTTAATTTGGCGGCGGCGACTTTGGCTGTTCACGTGGGAAATGATGCCCGTCGGAGAGATGATGAGGCTGAACAACCTGTCTTGTTTAGAGTACTCAATCTCTTCGTCGTCGATCATCAATGGAGCCGGCTTGAATTTGGCTTTGGGTATGACCTCGAATTTCGTTTTGTTTGTTTTTATTTTCCATTTATTTTCATACTCTAAGATCTCCTCTATTGCCCGAGCAGTGAGTCGCGCCATCCTTGCCGTGGACCTTCCTGGGCAGGTGACAATCTGTGTTACATCGTCGGCATTCATGCCGTACTCGCTGCTGACGATTGGGTGGTGGCAGGTCAGTCGTGTAGAGCATGTAAAGGGTTGGTGAGAGACAAGAGCCCTGACGCACGCAACTCGAGAATAAGAATCCTTCTCCACAATGTTCTTGCATCTTGATTTTGCCTCTGTGGTCCGTAATGAAGTTGCACGGCAGGGGCGTCAAGTTTTCGGGTAGCCCCAGTTGTATGATATCATACTGCAGCCCCGCGTGCCAAACTTTGTCAAACGCCTTGCTGACGTCCCTAAGCACTACATTGCACTGCAGGAGGCCAATCATGGCGTTGGCGATCTGCTCGTAGGCCTGGGCTATGGCAGTGGATGTGCCTCGGTACTGGCGGAAACAGAACTGGCGGGGATTATGCACGTCTTCGTCCTCTAGATCATCAACAACCGCTTGTTTACTATTTTTTTTTTTAAGATTTCGGTAGGTACCTCGAGCAACGATATAGGATGAAAGTTTTCGACTTTGTTTGGAGGCTTCCCTGATTTTGTTATGAGGCGGATAAAGGCAATTTTGAACATCTTAGGGATGTTTCTAGAGGCGAGGCCGGCATTGCATGTGAGGAAGCCTCTCTATCATGTTGTCGGGAAGTTGAGCCAGGATCTTCTTGTTAATGTGGCTTTGTCCAGGTGATTTGTTTTTAAACCCTTTTATGACGGCTGAGACATCTGCAGGAACTATGCGCTCCGTCAGGTAGCTGTCGTCCACGAGTCTAGTGAAGTCAGACCGTGCGAGCGGCTGGAGCAGGTGCTGATGGTCCTGCAACTGACCTAAATAGTCCTCCTCAAACTCGCTATCGAAGCTCTCGTTTTCCTGTTCACGAATAGTAAATATCGCCGATGTAGTTGTTCTTGGTTTTCCTCCTCCAATATTTTCTCGGTGTTTTGGTCGAGAAGGCAGCAGAGTCGCGGTAGTTGTTGGCTGCCTCCCACACCAAGGCGGCCCAATTTTGTTCTTGTAGACGTTTGCTCTCGTGCTGAATGTCTGTCTGTAGCTCTCGGTACCGGTCTCTCAGCTCTTGCGTCTAACCGCGGATACTGGCTAGCTGTCTCACATAATCGTACGGAACACTGAGCTGCCTCAGCTCGTGACTAGTGTGAGGGTGGGGAATGGTCCTGTGGGTGGTGGTCGGGATGCTGTATTCCATCTCCGTCTTCACATCAGTGTACCATTGTTCGACAGCGTCGTCGTTGTCATTAGGGCTGGCCTGTTCCAGGTTCCTTGCCTGCTTGAGACTGAGAGACTCCTTGAAGGAGTCCCAGTCTGCCCGTTTGAGGTTTGACCTGATGTTGGCGGGGATCATAATGGGATTGGATGTATGAGTCACGACGACTGGCAGGTGGTCGCTGGTACTGATGGGTCCGGCGGTAAAGTGCCTGTTCGGGACGGTATCGTTTTTATAAAGGATTATGTCGGGTGTTGTGGCACTGGCACGTCTGATCAATGTCGGGAAATCTGGCCCGAGGTGTTGCAGTTTTCCCCTTCTGATGTTGTCATACAGCTCCACACCGACGTTTTTCTCATTACCGTGTCCGAGTATGGTGTGGCGCGCATTTAAGTCCCCTATGATGTATGTTGGTTTTCTGTGGCGAAGCAACTGATTGAGGTCTTGTTCGGGTAAGTAAGGACGTCTGGAGGTAGGTACATTGAGCATCTGATAACAGGTCCCCTAGTTGTCTCCACCTGCACTCCTAGAACTGAATCCTCTAAGTGTAGGACATTTGTTGAACAATTTTCATCCTGCTAACGACTGCCATTTTGGAGACTGTAGCGGGGTGTTGCTTGAAGTGTTTGCTAGGCTTCTACTATTTCTAGGGGGCTGGAACTTCTTGGCAAAACCTTCAAACATCTGCTTGTCAGTTAATGACGGGCCCTCGAACTTCTCGTCACCAGTGTACAGGAAGGTGTTCAGGTCCTGGGATTGCGTGTCAAAGTAATCACTGACGCTACAGCTCGAGGGTCTTCTTCCTGTGTGGATTAAGTCGCCATCACCTGGTCGTAACTATTGACTGTAGTTGGAGCCCGATGGACGCTGTCGTCGCTGGGAGTACATGTGCTAGGATTCACCCCTGGAGAAGCTGTGTGATTGTAGGGTGACTGACTGGCCACATCGGGGCTACGGTTATGCTGACTTTGGCGTGGGTTGAGGTCGTCATGAAGTTGATGAGTGGGTTACTGCCTTCAGGAAGGCACGTCGTCGCTTATTTCGACAGGGGTGTTTCGAGAATGAACCTGGGTGAACCATGTTCATGTGATGGGCATGCAGGTAGGACAAGTATATAGTGGTGGCTTTGGACTCGTCCAGCTGTGGAGAGGAGACAGGAGAAGCTCCTGAAGGTCTCCGCCACTGCGTCCCTCATGGAGCCCAATGACCCAGTAACTGCCTGTTTTATTGAGTCCTTGATGGTTCTTATCTCTGGTTGCAGGACTTCCATGGTCTCGCTGACAATGTTGAGTTTGTATGAGTCTGCTTGAGTTTCTTTCAGAACGTCTTTTAGGGTTTGGCTGTAATCTACGATCGTCGACTGAGTGTCATTTTCATGATATTAGAAACTTCTCTGTTTTCTCTTTGCGTGGTTATTTCGGTCAGTTTCTTCTCTGTTTCTTGAATTACATGTTTCCTGACCAGGCAGGTGGCAGAGAAGGTCCTGTGGTCACCCTCGCAGACGACACACTTTTTTATGGTGCTACGGCAGTCTTTGTAGAAGTGTTGATCAGATGAACACTCAGAGCATATGACCCCTTGCATGGGGCAGTTCTTGGTCATGTGGTCATTGTATTTATAGCACTTCATACATTGTTGGATGGGCGTATACTTTTCATATTCTATTTGGTGTGATGAGATGGAAGTGCTATATGCATAGAGCCCCTTCTCCTTCATTCTTTTTGCATCCGTTGTGTCTGCAAAGCAAACCTTGATTATATTATGGGCATACATAGGATACACCTCCACAACCTTGACATTGTTTTGCTTTTCTATTTCATCTCTTATATCTTCTGCGTTATTTTCCACTACATCTTTGTCTAACTTCTTACATACAAGGGTGAGCTTGGCGCCGTATTCCCGTGGGACAATGACCTCGTATCCGTTAGTTTTCATTTTGTCCATGGCACTAGAGTTAAGTAGTTTATCAGCATCTTCATCTCTCTCTGTGAGGATGATGTAACCATCTCTCAGATCCACAAGTCTATTCTCACCCTTAGGTCGCTTACTAATCTTTTAGATCTATCTGAGACCCCTGGGTCGAGGTTCCGGAGATCTTCACTCTCACTTTGGCCATGGTCAGTTGCATACATAAAAATACTATACAAGGAAATAATTAACATAAGAACATAAGAAAATAAGGAGTCTGCAATAAGCCGGTTGGCCTGTGTATGGCAGCTCCTGTAGAGAGTTACTACCACTCTCTATCATCCATGAATCTATCGAGCCTCCTTTTGAAACTTTCCAGAGTTCCAGCACTTACTACAAAGTTGCTAAGCTTGTTCCACTCGTCCACAACCCTATTTATGAACCAGTTCCTTCCTATCTCCCTCCTAAACCTAAACTTATCGAACTTAAATCCGTTGCTACGAGTCCTATCCTGCTCGGATATAATAAGAACTTTATCTATATCCCCTTTATTGATTCCTTTCACCCACTTAAATACTTCTATCATATCTCCCCGCACTCTTCGTCCTTCTAGGGAATGCAAGTCTAGTTTCTTTAACCAATCCTGATATGGAAGGTTTCTAAGTCCCGGAATCATTTGCGTCATTCTTCGCTGCATCGACTCTAGTGAATTGATATCCATTCTATAATAACGGCACCAGAACTGAACCGCATAATCGAGGTGCGGCCTGACTAGCGCAAGATATAGTTGCAATAAGACCTCTGCACTCTTGTTACTTACACTTCTAGATATAAAACCCAATACTCTGTTTGCCTTATTTCGAACATTAACGCACTGTTTTCTAGGCCGTAGGTCTGGGCTTACAAGTACCCCTAGGTCTCTTTCACAAGTCGACTTCTCTAGGTTGATGTTGTTAAGGCTGTATACATTGACAGTATTTGTTCTTTCAATATTAAGTACGCTGCACTTGCTGGTGTTGAATTTCATTTGCCATTTTTCAGACCACCCCTGCAGTTTATTTAGATCCTCCTGTAATGCATTTGCATCCTGCCCTGAATTAATCTGCTGCCGTATTTTGGTGTCATCCTCAAACTTGCTTATGTCACTGCTCATCCCAGTATCTAGATCGTTTATGTAGATTATGAACAAGAGTGGGCCTAGTAGTGACCCCTGGGGAACCCCACTGGTTACACGGCCCCACTCAGATTTAACACCATCTACGCTGACCCTCTGCATTCTATCGGTGAGCCATGATATTATCCAATTTAAAACTTTCCGCTCGATACCATGAGCCTTAATTTTTCTCAGAAGCCTCTGATGCGGTACTCTGTCAAATGCTTTGCTAAAGTCTAAGTAAATAACATCGTAATTTTCGTCATTATCTACTACCTCGAAGACTTTCCTAAAAAACGTCAGCAGATTTGTTAGACAAGATTTTCCCTTTGTAAACCCATGATGAGAGTCGTAGAATAATTTGTTTTTCTCTAAATGCGATCGGATGCTATTTGCTATAATTGATTCAAGAAATTTCCCCACTACTGACGTCAAACTGATCGGGCGGTAATTTGACGCTGATGCTCTGTCTCCCTTTTTGAATATGGGTACTACATTTGCCTGTTTCCACAAGTCTGGCACAACTCCAGTGTCTAATGATTTTGTAAACAAATTTACGAAGGAGCCCTACTTAATCTGTCCACCTCAGCTATACCCCATGGATGCGGCTCCTTCTGTCAACTTGCTGGGCGAGTAAAGACGGGTCTGGAGGTAGGGCGAACAGACAATTCTCTGGCGGGGGCCTAGCCAAGCTCTAACACCTAACAGTGGCAGGTTATGAAGCACTGCCGATTCCCTCACTGTTTCGACTTAGCAGACCTCTGAGGGCTCCCCCTGTGGCTCTGTCCGCAGGGTTCGCTTCGTTACCAAACAGCAGGGACTCTAGGCGGAAGGGTAGGGCAGGGAAGAAGCGTGGTGTACAAGAATGATTATATCAATGTACAACTATGGGGGGCTGGTGGTAGATGCGGTGTTGCTCTTGCCTCGCAAGCAAGATGTCACGGGTTCGATTCCTGGGCCGGTGGAAGTTGTTTGGACATACTTCCTAGCCCCCATTAGTCCCTGTTCACCTAGCAGTAAAGTAGGTACTGTTGTAAGTCGAAAGTTGCGAATTCGTATTCAGGGAGTTGTTGGAGCTTCCAATAACTTGATGACATAAACCATTGACTCTTCAGGCTTCTATTCCCTTCACTCTTCAGGCTTCTACGCCCTTAACTCATGAGATATAAAGGCAAGCATAAATTTATCATGCTTCCCTGTTGGGCGCTGCAAACGCTTCTGCGCTTCACCTTACACAAGGATGTAGGGGGGTGCCCAAAAAAAAAAAAAATGTACAACTACAAGATAAAGCAGCCAGACGAGCCCAGCGTGAAAATCTAGGCTGACAGTCGTAACGGTCAACAAATTTGAATGCGAGCCAGAAGCAAGGCAACAACGCGTCCACCCGCTTCGATGGATGGCCAACGTTACGTTCCCATGATGTTTCGACTCCACGTAGTAATAGAGTTGCTGCAGTAACCTGTGAGGTCCCTCATAACACCATCTGTGAGGGAATTAGCACACAAAGTGAGATTCCTCACAACACCATCGTTGAGGGAAATATTGCACCACGATACCTTACATGAGTGGTCAGTAGACTGGCAAATGAATTTTAATACTGATAAATGCAAGGTACTACAGATAGGGAAGACGAATACAAACGTTAAGTATAAACTAGGTAACACGGAAATAGAAAACTCAGATTGTGAAAAAGATCTAGGTGTATTTGTTAGCAACGACTTGAAACCTAGAAAACAATGTATTAGCGCTCGCAACAAGGCAAACAGGATTCTTGGGTTCATATCTAGGAGTGTGAGTAACAGAACTGCTGACGTTATCTTGAAACTTTACCTAGCATTAGTGAGGCCACACATGGATTATGCGGTTCAATTCTGGTGTCCTTATTATAGAATGGACATAGATTCTATGGAGAGAGTACAAAGAAGAATGACAAAAATTATCCATAATATTCGAAACCTTCCATATGAAGAAAGACTGAAAAGCTTAGGCTTGCATTCATTAGAGAGGCGTAGAGTTAGGGGAGATATGATAGAGGTGTTCAAGTGGGTAAGTGGGATTAACAAGGGTAAAATGGAAGATGTTCTGAAGCTCAGTAATAACGAAATAACTAGAACAAATGGCTTTAAATTAGATAAATTCCGATTCAGAAAGGATATAGGCAAGCACTGGTTTGGTAATAGAGTTGTGGATATGTGGAATAGGCTACCGAGTGCTATAGTAGGATCGGGGACGCTAGGGAGCTTCAAGACGAAGTTGGATAGGCACATGGAAGTGCTGGGATGGGTGTGAAAGGGATCTGCCCTGTATGGGCCAGTCGGCCTCCTGCAATATCCCACTTTCTTAGGTTCTTATGTTCTTATAATACCATCTGTAAGGGAGTTACTACACAATGTGTTTGTTGTGCAACACCTCAGCGCACGTGGCCTACATGACCTTCTTTGATGAAAGCTTTTATTACCCCCATATCACTGTATGTAATAAGTCAATTCTGTCCACTGTATATGTTTAGCATTTGGGCTGTGCCGAACTTATTCAATAATCCGTTAATTATTATTATTATTATTATTATTATTATTTACACACACATACACACACACACACGCACGCACGCACGCACACACACACACACACACACACACACACACACACACAGCTTTTCTCCATCTAAATATTATATGTCTTATTTGTGTCACTTATGTTACTTGTATATTATTTGTAATTCGTAACCCATTCCCCAAATATGTAACTGTATATTTTCAGCCTTCTGGCTGCCAAGCTCTTTCAATAAAGCGTTAATTATTATTATTATTATTATTATTATTATTACACACACACACACGCACACACACGCACACACACACACACATACACACACACACACACACACACACACACACATTATCACTGTCTCTTCCCAGGTCAGTGACCTCCTTCCCCACAAAAACTTCCTGGTTTCACCCCTGTAGTATTATTTTGGGTATCTCGGCCCGAGGTCACCACTGGATGTAGGCCGAGGTCACTGGTCCGAAGTTACCATGGGCCGATTTCACCTGTATCCCAATGGAGAACTGAACTGTATGAATCTTGCCAAGTTTAAAATGAAACATCGATAGACGCTCATAGACAAAGCGGATTCAGTGAAAAATTATAAGCAGTAGTATTTTATTATGAGTTTTGATTGCAATGATGCGAATGAGATAATTCTTGCTTCCTAATTAGAGAATATATATTAGATAAAATCCTTAAATTTACTACTAATATTACCCAATCACAGAACCTGGGTGGTAGATTCTCTACGGCCATTATACCAACAGAAGACCAGATATTTTAAACATCTTACACGAATATATTGTTCAATTGATGAATCCCGCGGCCATATCACGCTGGCCGACGAGTCATCCACCACTTCCCGCAGGGTCTGGTAAGGTTCCGGGATATATCTCACCGCCAAGTGGGATATGAGGTTACCAGAGTAGCTTTGTTTTAACACCAGAGTCGTCAACATCCACACCGCCAACAAAAGTCGCTCCCACCACCACTCCGATGCCAGAGGAGAGTCTGTTTGAAAGGACAATTAAGTACTCTAATCATTGCATCGAACTTAATTACTCAGCCGAAATATTTTTTTATCTTTCTTGGCAAAAAATTTTTCATGTGATTTTTAATACTACTGTAGTTACTTGGTTACATAATTGTTAAAACAATTAATCGCAGGTAAGCTAAAAAAAATTAACTTAAAAGTAAATATATGTGAGCAGTTTCAAAATTCAAATGATGTCTTCAAAAGGACGTTGAAGCTTGGAAAATTAAGAATGATTGTTAAGAAAAAAATGAGGAATTGCTTAGAGTTACATATAACAGTGTAGTCTCATTGTACTGATTTATTTTAGAAACAATTGCGCCAATCTATTCGTTTTTCCATTCAAATTGAAATAATGGTTATAGCCAAAAATGACTCACCCTGATTTAGAAGCAATCGTATATATACAAAAGGTTCTTCAACTCTGTTTCTGCTCCATGCAGTCACGTAGGTAAGGCAAGAAGGCAAGAAGGACGTAGCTACCAGCAGCACCAGAAGCGCCGTCAGGATTGCCGCCCACACTAACTGGGAGAATGGCAGCAGGAAACCCCACGGGTCTAACTCTGTTCGCCCGCGACCAGCTAGGATATTGAGATAGCGTAATTCCAGTGACGATGTAAAGTCCACCACTTCAGTACGGCTGGTGGTCACAGTCAGGGGGCCAACACAAAAGTGTGCCTCCTGCATAGTAATGATAATAATAATAATAATAATAATAATAATAATAATAATAATAATAATAATAATAATAATAATAATAATAATAATAATAATAATAATAATAATAATAATAATAATAATAATAATAACTGGTGGAGCGACCCGCATGGTGGGGGCCAACAAAATGTTTTTTAAATAAAAAATTACCCCAAAAAAAAAGAAGAATGTTTATCAGAACTTGAAGTAGTCCTCTATAGCGTTTTGTCGGATCAGTGGTTTCTCAAGAGTAATTCTCACTCTTTGACGTTAGATGGTTACCCTTAGTAAATATCAAAGAATTTCATCAATAGATAAGACCTGAATTCCTTCTAAATGGGAGTGACCTTTTGAACTAACACTGGAACAAGTGCACTCACCTGCCTCACCACCATGCCCACCATCCCAGACCAGGACTCATCTTTCTGCCTGGAGCCACTGGAGCCATCAGCAGGACGCACATATTTATATCTGGTGGTTCAAGTCAACAATTACGCCTTTGAAAGTTTCCAGGAAAGTTTCAAACAAATACAAAAAGTTTATTAACTGGTTAATTTCTAAAGTTAGTCTATATACTGTACTGTATATGCACGTAAATAAAAATATGTAAATAATTAAGAATAACTACCAAGAATTCAGGGAATTTAAGCCACTTTGTCTTTATTCTCTTCTCATAGGCGGTAGGTCTTTTAAACTTAAGCAAAACTGACATATCAATCCATTTTCTATGTATAAAGATGATTTTACATAATAGGCACACTGATCCCGATAAGTGATTGTGTGGTGGCATCTTTCATATATATTTGCACCTGTAATTGTAACTCTACGGTTCTTTGAAAAATTATGAAATTTAATTAAGTAAAATAATGAATAAATGCACTTTATGGGCTCTTCATCCCAGGATTAACAACAACAAATATTTACTTACGAAAAATTCAAGCCCTGGGAGACATAATCCAGTACCCGTGTCAAAGGTCCCAGGAAGATTAGGTTCTTCCCACCAGGTTCACTTTCACTCTCCTGCCAAACAGATGTTGTCAGTCCTCCCTCGATCATCGGGACAATAAATGTTGGTCGATGTGAAAACCTGAGAGACAGGAAGACAGAGAAAATGAGACTAAAAAAAATGATCCTATCATTTTACGGTATTTAGAAAATATTTGTAAGGTAATTAATGACAAAAATATCTAACTTAAGAAATATTGAATATAATATAAAAAAGAAAAACAAAATACGCTGACTTGAATCGATATGTAATGCCTTGAAAGTGATTAATGTGGTTAAAACGTGTTATGATCACTAAACTTAAAACTTAAAGTCTCAAAACTAAGATATAAAAAACATGATATGAAGCAGCTGGAGCGGTGCCGCCAGTCGTACTTGATGATTGAAACTAAGTGTAAAATATGTCTTTTAAGGCAACGCTACATGTGCTCTACCAGTTACTTAATTTTATAATACTACATAATGTTATGCATTATACAAGACCGAATATTTTCTTACTTTGAAAACTTATCAGGGAAAAGCGGTATATGGCTCCTGAATGTCAAATCTTCTTCGTACGTCCACAATGCAACTCGCAATGGCTGAGAATTGGGTTGAGTGAATGGCATTTTAGCATACAATACACACCTGTCATAAGATAAGGATTACGTATTAAGTTAAGCGTTAAATGACTAGTAATTTTTGTTCATTTGTTGAAGATGAGAACTTAGAAATTATTCACTTCGATTGTAAACTCATACTAGTACCTCAATGATGGTATATTTTTCCCCACACTGAGTAACATGGAGTTAGTCATAGAAAATAAGTTATGTAGGTGTTGGAGCTCCGAAAGAGGCAGGCGGGTGACAACAAGAAGCCTCGTCGACCACACCAGGAGGCGGCCCTTGAGGGACCACTCGGCGAAGGCGGCGAGGAAGGGTGGGTCGTCGCTCACCACCACCACCGTCACGCACCATGACACCTGCCGCAGCTGTTGACGTCAACACGGTAGAAGTTATGTGAGAGTGACCTACCCGCCTCAATAGTAATGTGAGAGTGACCTACCCACCTCAGTAGTAATGTGAGAGTGATCTACCCACTTCGGTAATAATGTGGGAGTGACCTACCCACCTCAGTAGTAATGTGAGAGTGACCTACCCGCCTCAGTAGTTATGTGAGAGTGACCTACCCGCCTCAGTAGTAATGTGAGAGTGACCTACCAGCCTCAGTAGTAATGTGAGAGTGACCTACCCGCCTCAGTAGTAATGTGAGAGTGACCTACCCGCCTCAGTAGTAATGTGAGAGTGACCTACCCGCCGAGCCTCGTCGACCACCCGGGAGAGCTGCGCCTGTGTCACGTTAGCGTCCTGGCCGTCCACTGCCACCTCGAACAGCCCCACACCCCAGGGGGCCACCAGCTGACCCAGCTCCTGAAATAAAAAAAGATATTGGTCTATTTTCCTTGGCTAATTGTATTTTATATAGTCTTTGGAGTCTTATCATACCCTAAAGCATTTACAGATCGATCCAAGGCGTCAAGCGATGGACCTGGTGTTAATTATCACAGGTCAGTTTAAGGCAATAAAGGAGACAACTCAATTCACGCCAAATACAAGGTTTGACTATATAATCTATTTGGTTATCCCTCTTTTGATAATTCTAGGTGTGATGTCATGTCAGAATGTGATGAAACTCTTCTACGGACCAAAGATATTTATAGTGGGAGGGTTATGACTAGAAGTGTACCTGAAATTAAGGGCATTGTCTTAGGGTGGGGTCCTATAAATGACTATATATTGATATGGATGACCTTGATATCTTCAGAATTGGTACCACTGGAAGCAGAGTAAGTTACTAAATAACTTTGATTATTTTTTCGTGGGGTTACAGTAACGGGTGATGTATAAAGTGGGGTTAATTAATAAACGTAAGAAAATAATTACTGTATGTGGACTCCTTCGTCTAAATAGGTTTAGTATTGTATTATAGCTCCATGTGCAGTACTTTAAAGTTGTAACTGGCCTCTGCATTTGACCAAATTAGCATTCCTGGCACCACCCTTTAATTCTATGGATAGGACAAACTATGCACGGTGGCTGCCGGTGTAGCTGGTATATATGCTTCAATTGGCAAAAGATACTCGACATATCTGAGTGACCTTATCACAAACATAAACTTGGAGAAGAAAAGTTTTACAAAATTTAGAGTGAAACTGACCGTCTAAATGTTCCATGAAGTTACCCTAGAAAAATATGCAGTCAGACCGTGCATGTGGTGTGAGATGATTAAGATCATTTTTTTCTGAGTCTAACACCTGGCTTATTTACTTGTTATATCTGTGAAGCAGTAGAGTTTTTACAAGAAACCGTCGATAATGTGGTTACGGTACCAGTACTTTAACTCTTTCTGCTTCCGCATTGGATATTGGTGTACGAGACCTATGTTTTTGCAGTGAAATATAACAATCTCTCTTATTACCATGACACCTACCGTGGTGGACGAAGTGGTGCCGTCAGTGAACAGCAGGACGGAGCCGTGTGGATGAGACACCCTTGACAGCGCAGCTTTCACTGCCCCACCCGCTAATGACAACAGTTCATTTTTCTCTGTCGGAAATCACAATGAACCGTGATTTGTTGAGCTCAAATGCAAATAAAATGTCTTTTAGTAAACACGAAAACTAAAACTTCCTTGGAAAGTTTAACAATAGGTGAATATTAATTTGAATATCAACCTACTGGAAAAAACCCTCAAATCTTAATCCGTTTTCCATATCCTCAAAACCAAGTGGTTAGTGTGAATCGAAATTATGTTAATTTCATTTGAGTTTTAATATAGTTGTAATTTACATAGTCATTATATTTTAGTTCCATGCAGTGATTAATATAACTAGTTATCATTGTACAGTTGGGGAATTTTCCAACTGTTACAGTCAGAGTTGTCAATCCGTGAAGTATGAACCCTGAGAATGTCGGGGCTAGAGGGATGGGAGAGGTTTAATGGGTTACTTGTACAGTTACAACGTTTTATGTATTAAGCTTAGAATGTTTTGCTGCACATTTGGGTGGTATTCCCAGCTTGTGCTACAAGCTTAAACAATACAGTATATGCATATTAATTAATTATTTATGTATTTATTTTCCTTGTTTGCAACTTTCACGTAATCTAGGAGTGATAGGAAGACGAGCTCGTGTCCTTTATGGCAGCGTGAGTTTCTTGACTCGATACACAACGGATACATTTGATTCTATTTACATTAGTATCAAATTATTAATATTATAAAATTTGCAATAAATCACCCGAAGAAGTATCCAAACCACGTTTATAATAATTACCATTAATGTGTGATGACAATGATAAGTTAGTCGGCAGCAGTTCCACCTGTTGCAAGCATTTCCTGTTTGGTTATAGTTTTAATACAGCCGTACCATTTATTCATTGAGTGGTTTACGCTTGCTCTCATTTGCAGTTTGATCTGTAGTCCTGAGTGTTATTCATTATAACATCCAGGAAGGTTACCACATTAACACATATGAAGATTTTTAGTATTTTAATTAACTGTGTTTGGAGACCTCTCCGTCTTGCTACAACTTGCGAGTAATTTTAGGGGGCAGCCTTCACACCATTAACACCTCACGAGCGTTATGAATATGGCAGCCAAATTGTTATGAGTTTGTGACAATAGTTATTCGATCTTTTATCTTGTTTGCCTCCAGGTCAAATCAACGTGATATTATTTTACTTATTATATGTTTGAGCAACGTTGATGCTCTTATGTGTTCCTTGTTTACATGTGCTCTCATTGTTTGAGTGATGTAGTATGGGAGTTTATCATCCTATACACCTAAGTAGCATGTAGAATTAGCCTCCTCTGGGTCAAACTTAAGGAGTTTGCATCTGTCGTTATGATTATATTATTGATTATCGTAATATGATATTTACGTTTACAAAGTATAATGAAATAATATTCTCGTCTTTACTGATTTTAAGGCGATGCAAATTTGTAAGTAGTAATAGGTCTACTGGTGGTCTGCTCCCCCCACTCTCCCCACACACATACCCCCTCCTTGGCACTATACCTATTCGGTTTGTATTCTTAAGCTTTAGTGTCAAGTAGTAGCAGTAGTAGCCCGATTTTAGGACTACATAATGACAAAAATAAATAGATACCATAAAAACTGTGAGGGAACTGCTGATTGTTTCATTACGTAATGCCTGTTTGCTTCTTGTTCGTTCATCACAGCAGCCCATATTCCTGACACTAACTGCCAATTGCAAAAATTGCCGTCGTGTACACGATGCAGTGGTATCCCCCATGGTTAATTTGCAAGAAACACTCGGGGCTTAAAAAAGAAACAAAAAATATGCTATTCATTATTGGAACGTGGGAGATTTCCGCGCTGCCCTCCCCCCGCCCGTTGCACACTATGATGGAACTATGTTTTGAAACCAAAAGAAAAGAAATATAATTGGATGCACATAAATTGTAGAAATATGCAAAGGAATAATATTTTTTATAAGATATCCTCCATATAGAACAACACATGAAGAAGTGTATTGTTCTTTTTAAAAAAGAATTCCATGTTTGTGTAGGAACATCCGATAGCCTCTACTTTCCTGATCGCCGCTTATATCCTCCAAATTCTCCTAACCATCATAAAAGGTAAGCCTTTAAGATAACTAATCCAACTAATTTATGTGTAGGAATGTATGGAAATCAAATTACGCTGAAACAAATCGCAAGCTGGCCTAATTGGAGAGTGGTAAAAAAGCCGCTATATATAGGATGGTGAATGACGTCCCTTATTAGGAATAATATCGACCCACTTTTCGTAATGAGCGTAATTAATAACCGTCCAGCACTACGAAAATAAATATTGCATTAGTATGAATACTTTATAGCGTAAATTTCATATATTAATAAGTCCAAATATGCCTAGTAACCGGTGCCAGGTAGTTCCCAGGCATGTTTTATTTGTGTATGAGTTTAACCACAATTTGTTGCTAATAACATAAATTTAGTGATATAAATTCATGTTCTTTGTTATTAATTCCCTTAGTGACTCAATGTATTGCAATAAAGAACTACCTTACCACTTTTTGTGCAACATTTGTTGTGGTGGTAATAATTCACTTTGCCATTGACAGTGGTAGAATCAAGTGTGAATACATCGGCCTTGTATGTTCATGATTTCAACAAAAATTAATAATGTCTTCCAAAATAAAAGAAATTTATGGTATTATTATCTTTTCGGTCATCCAGCGCATTTTAGGAATTTAAATTGACAGATTTTTACCAGTTAGGTAGGTTAGGTTAACATTAATGATCACAGTTTTGGACCCACCATAAAAATCTACATTAGATTTTGCTTCAAAATTTTGAGTGTTGCATATGAAACCGAAGAGATCCGAGTTTCCATCGGAAATTTAATTTTTGGGATTATTTTAACAGACAAAATTACACATAATATGTAGGTGTTGGAAACTTATAAATATTAACCCTCATAAATAAAGATGTTTCAGAATTCGCAAATTTAACGAACACAATATTAATGCCCTTATTTTCACTTACAGGTGGAGATACAGTTGACTATTCACCTTCACTGAAACTGAAGAAATAATTCTTGGTGTCATGTATGATGTAGAATTTTTCCGGTTACTGGGAATATTCTGGAAATTGCTACCTAACCAAACCTCGGAATTGGTTCCCAGACTCGGAACAGAAATATTTGGGGACTTTCTGTAAAATCCCCAAATTGTTCAGAAAATACGTCTCGGAAAAATCATAATATATGCCTTAATTAATATATATATATATATATATATATATATATATATATATATATATATATATATATATATATATATATATATATATATATATATATATATATATATATATATATATATATATATGTATTAATTTTCTTGTGAAATTTGTGGACGATTTTTCCTTTAAAATACTGTACTCTTGATCATCCATATATTATAACATATCCTGCTTTTAATAAAGGCTATGATCTGACATTAGCATTATCATTGTATTCCTATCGTTATTATTACTACATTCTATATTAAACATTAAAAAATTGCAGAAATATTTTGCCATTAACATTGCAGACTATATTCGGGATATTTTTAAACCATTTAATTATCATCTTGTTTTATGTTTAGCATCTTAGGTTTAGTCATTTCCTCGTAGAAGCTCGGAAGGTGGTGACCGAACAATGTATTAGCCCCTTAATCTTTATATAAATGTGGAGTAGTGCATTAAGCTTATATAATCATATCACCCCCTGTAAATTTCCACTAGCTTTGAGGTGACATGGTCACTTAAGGCGTGGCCCTAAAATGCTAAGTTAGCTTTTAAAAGCTGGCTAGCGCTCTCACTATCAATCCCACTCGCACATCAATTGGGCGATTTAGTACAGCCAATCTAAGATAGCCTCTGTCCTCATTTAACAATCATAGCTACAGTGATTAAGTTACGGTGATATACACTTGGAACTGTATGTGGTTAAGGGCGAGAGCTGCCCACTCTCCCATAAATACGGCCTTCATTCCAAATGAGTACAAATTATTACAGATAACACAGAACTTTGGTTTGCACAAAGGACACAAACCTAGCTAATAGGCAGATATAAAATGTCCTTATATATTGTTTTTGAAAATACAGTATGAATAGATACTCATAGGTTGTCGATACAAAATTAATCATGGTTACTGGGATTGTAGTCAATCATTATGACTCATTGAGTAAGGGTGAGTCAGCTGATAGTTGTTGTGGTTCGCCAGGATTTAGTTGGAACATAAAATTGGAAGCGATTATTTTGATAATATCTTTGACCAAGCAAATCCTTAATCATTATAAAGCAGAATATTATGACCTGGGTAATCACCAATGGTTAATTCATTATATTTTGCTTAAGTATTAGAGGTTATATATGAGCTTATAAGTTTCAATTCACCATTAATGAATGTAATGGAAAACGTATACATTCAATCATAGGCCAAATGCGTGTTTTTGCACTTTAATATTAGAGTGCTGCATTGATGTGTGTGGCGGTGATACCGAGTGGGTGTTGTCAAGGCTCGCCACGCAAGCGAGAGGACCCGGGTTGGATTCCAGGGCAGGGTGAAACAAAGGGCAAGTTTCTTTACGCCTTTTGCCTCTGTCTACCCAGCAGTAACGGGGGACCAGGGCCGGTATACACAAAACTTTTAAAGGCCTTAATAGTTTTGTTAAGTTAAAAGACCTCGGGAGCACTTTTAAGTCCCGTAATAGTTGTCTGTTAGCTGATACCATGGCGAACCAACAACATCAGCGGCGGCAACACATTTATCGGGAAAGGAGGGATATATTTAATGAATATAGTGTGTACTGAATATATTAAATATAGTGTGAATATATTGTGTGTATTCCCTCTTTATAGCAGATAGTTTCTTTCTTGACTTGGACAATACTGAGAACCAGCGTGTCTCACACTCTGCCACTGACCTCACCACACCAGGAAATGCAGCATTGACTCTCATGGTGATTTACAGCCATGACCTCTTGTTGTCTTTATTATTTAGGAAAGGCTTGAAGCTGCCATTCAATCTAAACTTTTTCTCTTCAATGGCATCCACCAATAATAAAGTCTGGTCTGCTGTCCAGATGGGCTTCTTTTTCTTTCGTGGGGTTGAGGCTTCCATATCAGTGACGTTCATCTTGTTCGCTCCTTCAATAACACGCGTGTGAGGGTTTGTTTACAAAGAGCACAGTAAGGCAAGCCACCGATCACTATCCTTGGTTAATATATCCTCCTTCAAACTGCATAGATTAGATTTTTTCTTTTAATGATCAAAATGTATATAAATGTAAATATTGAAATTAATCTTCATAATTTTATTGAGGTTATTCAGCCATAAGACCATTTTATATGATGAACTCCTGCTATCCTTAGCGCTGTCTAGCGGTACTTAAACAACTATTTGTACGGTAAAAGTTTGCTAGTTAAGCTTTGTGTATTCACTTTTAAATTTTACTGGTACTGGTACTATTTTGTCATTAGCAGAAAAGTTTTGTGTATGCCGGCCCTGGATGTTAATCGATTTCCGGATCGTGTTTCGGAGTAATGGTTAGCCAGCGCAATTGGCCAGTTGATCAGTCTTCTTGGACCATTCCTTGGCACTGGGTCATGCAACTCGATAACTTGGGCCTTGAAGGTGTGATTGTTGTGTTGGCGACAGCTTCTGCACCTTAAGCAAATTCACCCCTAAATGGCCCTAGTGCCGACCATCCTCGAACACAAGGGGCAACCATTACTTACTTTACTTGTGTGTGGTAAGGGGAGGTAGACCACCGAAACACCCACTATAACTTATTGTTATCTATAAATTTACATCAATTTAATATAAGTTGTGACTTCTAATTCTTTCAAAATCTTTAAATAACTGCTTATAATGCGTATATGTGATTAGATAATTTGGCAGTAAAGGGGAAATATCTGTTCATAATTTGTAAGTAACAGAACCCACAAACTCACGATAGGAGTAATGGTTATTAACTTGTGTTTTTGATCAATGATACATATAAATATATATATATATATATATATATATATATATATATATATATATATATATATATATATATATATATATATATATGGGTATTTTGCACTTGATTCAAGATGATCTTCACGTTGCCTCTGATAGATGTCTTGAGATATCAAGAATCGACTAAACTAAGGTGCTCAAATGAAAATATTAAAAAAAAATAAATTATATATATATATATATATATATATATATATATATATATATATATATATATATATATATATATATATATATATATATATATATATATATATATATATTTATATCCACTTTTAAGATTCATTCAAGCCTTGTTGAGAATGGTCTACTTGTGCTATGTTGATTTCCCTTTTCCCTTGTGATTTTATCAAGATTTATATCCACGTATTTCATTGTGGATACAAGAAATATATATATATATATATATATATATATATATATATATATATATATATATATATATATATATATATATATATATATATATATATATATATATATATATATATATATATATATATATATATATATATATATATATATATATATATATATATATATATATATATATATATATATATATATATATATATATATACATAGAGATAGATATATAGAGAGAGAGAGAGAGAGAGAGAGAGAGAGAGAGAGACGACAGTGTACCATTGAGCCCTTCGAATTTTCAGCGTTTGCCTAATGTTCCAAAGCACACGCCCGTAAGGAAGTCATAAAACTATTTTACCGAATTTTATTCAGAAAACTGCTCTACCGAATTTTATTAAACTAAATGACAGCACCCTATGGGATTCCTGAAATGGGGAGGTAGAAACTTGGTTAAATTCAATAGTTATAAAACTTAGTATTTACCAATTACACTTTCCAAATTAGATGATCTCCCACCAATCACATTTCAGGACGCAATCATTTTGCCAAGTTCTAAAATACATATACTAGGTCTGACCATTTCCTCTAATATGTCATGCAAGCCACACATCCACAACATTGCTAAAGTTGCCTCGCAAAAGCTGGGAATGCTGTAAAGATGCCGGAGCTACTTCACTCCTGAGCAGTTGCTTCAAGTTAATAAAGGATTCATTCGTCCTAACTTAGAGTACTGCTCACATATCTGGGATAGCTCTTCTTCTGTCCAACTGTTAGATAGGGTGGAATCAAAGGCATTTCGTCTTATTAACTCTCTTCCTTTAGTTGATAATCTTTCTTCCCTTTCTCTTCGCAGCAATTTTGCTTCATTCTCTCTCTCTTTTACAGGTACTTTAACGGGTAATATTCGGTGGATTTGGCCCTGACCGCGGTGCCCACAGTTTCTCTGTGGCTATCGGTCACACTAGAATAGCCCGTTATAGTACATCCTTCTTTCCTGTACACAGCCAAAACTGTGGAATGCTCTGCCTTCTTCTGTGTTTCCATACACATACAATCTGTCTCACTTTAAAAAGCTGGTTTTCCGCGTGGTGTAAATTTATATAATTTTTTTCTTTTCTATTTTTAATTTATTTTTACTCCTATTTTTTCGTCCCCTAGGCCCCTTTGTGGGTCGACGACCTATGCCCGGGTGGGCTAATCCCCGTAAAAACACACACAAAAGAAGGAACCCCCATTAAGAGTAACACCAACGATTTTCATGTACAACCCACCTTCCTCGACCCGACTGTATTCGTGGCAATTAATGCAAATATGGTAGCATTTACTCAATTTCATTTATGCCAATCACTGGTATCTTGGCGAAATTTTTTTAACCAAATTAGGTTATGTTAGTGGAGATTGATTCTATTTACTTATAATGATGTTACTTTTGGGATGTAATTATTCCTGAAACACCTGAGATAATGATTATTTTATTACTAATTTTAGGTATTTATTCACATGCTTAGAGTAGCGTTCAGTACTGTGGAGTCAAGAGTGTGAGAGAGCGTGTAAATGTCTGGACGTTATATAATAAACAATAATACAATACTACTATATTTAGTGTATTTACTGGCTTACCAGAAGGTAGAGGTAACTGAGTCAGTGCCAGAAGGATATTAGACAGAAACAACAGTAGTGATGGTGCAGTCATCGTCATCCTTTCTGGCCATTCAGTGTCTGGTATTGTGGAAAAGATTGATAAATAAAAATTACTAACACATTTTTAAACTCCAGCTTCATATGTATATATATATATATATATATATATATATATATATATATATATATATATATATATATATATATATATATATATATATATATATATATATATATATATATATATATATGCAAGTAAATCACTGTAGGTGCGCGTGATCCAGGTATATGCTGATAACCACAAGGAAAGAAGAAAACACGAAGTTCCCAAGCGCTTTCGTGTAATTCACATCTTCAGGGGTGAGTACAGACTAGAGAGAGTAATACAAATCAAGGTGTATATATACAGAGGAGGGTGAGACCAGGTCCACAATGGTCAGGTATTAGGTAATGACCCTACTAATCTTTAAATAGCACACAACGGTTGGTGGTCAGGTCAGATGGTCAAGTGACCCGGCCTTCTCACCTGATCACAAATCTTCTTAATTACAAAATTGTCCAGCTTGTACATGCCGTTACTCAAATTCATGTTGAATGCTTCGGTATGTTTAATAAGACTAGATTCTATGATGTTCCTACTATCAATTGAATTACATGGTAATATTGAGGAGGCATTATCCCAGTCAATGCAATGCTTGTTATCCCTCAAATGAACAAACAGAGCATTGGATTCCTGGCCTGTCCTAACACTGTATTTGTGTTGTTTAATTCTAGTTGCAAGATCTTTACCTGTCTGGCCTAAGTAAAACATATTACATTCCTTGCAAGGAACTTTATAAATGCAACCAATTGTGTTGTTGGGGGAGTTCTTGATTAACATTTATTTAACATGCATGAGTTTTTAAATGCCACATTGACGTTCCAGGTTTTTAGCTGTGCAGGAATGTGTGAGAAATTTTTGTGAAATGGTAATATTAAGATATTCTTATGGTCATGGGTGGGCTTGGGGTCAGTTCTATAAAAAGTTTTCTTAGTAATGTTTAAGCATTTGTCTATGAAAGATCTAGGGTAGTTAAGGTTTGAGCCAATATTATATATATATTTGTATTCCTCATCGATGAATTCCGGACCAGTTTAAAATCATGATTAATGTGTAAGTTATTGAGTTTATCAACCAGATCCATATTATTCTTGATATTGGAGTTAGAAATGTTGCCAACTAGGGGATTTAGTAAAGAAACTAACCATTTAGATAGTTTATAAGAGATTGACCCAACTGAGCTAATGATGGGTCTTGCTGGGTTATTGGGCTTGTGGGTCTTGATTACACCGTACATGTATGGCAGTGGAGGGGACGTTGAAGTAAGATGTTTAATGAGCGTAGCTTTGCCTCTCAATAGGGACTTCAGTTTTTTGTTGAACTGGGTGTTGACAGTGTTGAGAGGATTTTAAACTGGTCAGCTTTGATGTAACGTCACTCTTTACAAAGGTCCCAGTTGATGATTTACTAGAGTTCCTCATAGATTCCCTGGATAACATTTCACTGCCCGTCTCGAAAGACGACTTCATCGAACTCATCAAACTATGTATTAAGGATTGCAAATTCGAATTCAATGGGGAATATTATGCTCAAAAATTTGGTATGGCAATGGGTAACCCACTCTCACCTGTATTAAGCAACCTATATATGGAATTCTTTGAAAAGAAACTATTAAGTAATATTTTACCACCCTCAGCAGTCTGGTTTAGATATGTTGATGATGTATTATGTCTCTGGCCATGTAATGAGGACCTAAAAGCTTTCCTGCCACAACTTAACAACTTAGCCCCCTCGATCAAATTCACTGTGGAATTAGAGCAAGACTGTAAATTGCCATTCCTAGACTGTCTGATACACAGAATAGGTAACACTTTTAAGTTCAGTATTTATAGAAAACCAACTAATGTGTGTTCATACATTCATTATTATTCTGCCCACCATAATAAAGTCAAACAGTCAGTATTTTCAACAATGTTTTTACGTGCCTTGAGAATTTGCAGTCCGGAATTCATCGATGAGGAATACAAATATATATATAATATTGGCTCAAACCTTAAATACCCTAGATCTTTCATAGACAAATGCTTAAACATTACTAAGAAAACTTTTTATAGAACTGACCCCAAGCCCACCCATGACCATAAGAATATCTTAATATTACCATTTCACAAAAATTTCTCACACATTCCTGCACAGCTAAAAACCTGGAACGTCAATGTGGCATTTAAAAACTCATGCACTGTTAAACAAATGTTAATCAAGAACTCCCCCAACAACACAATTGGTTGCATTTATAAAGTTCCTTGCAAGGAATGTAATATGTTTTACTTAGGCCAGACAGGTAAAGATCTTGCAACTAGAATTAAACAACACAAATACAGTGTTAGGACAGGCCAGGAATCCAATGCTCTGTTTGTTCATTTGAGGGATAACAAGCATTGCATTGACTGGGATAATGCCTCCTCAATATTACCATGTAATTCAATTGATAGTAGGAACATCATAGAATCTAGTCTTATTAAACATACCGAAGCATTCAACATGAATTTGAGTAACGGCATGTACAAGCTGGACAATTTTGTAATTAAGAAGATTTGTGATCAGGTGAGAAGGCCGGGTCACTTGACCATCTGACCTGACCACCAACCGTTGTGTGCTATTTAAAGATTAGTAGGGTCATTACCTAATACCTGACCATTGTGGACCTGGTCTCACCCTCCTCTGTATATATACACCTTGATTTGTATTACTCTCTCTAGTCTGTACTCACCCCTGAAGATGTGAATTACACGAAAGCGCTTGGGAACTTCGTGTTTTCTTCTTTCCTTGTGGTTATATACCTAGATCATATATATATATATATATATATATATATATATATATATATATATATATATATATATATATATATATATATATATATATATATATATATATGTATATATATATATATATATATATGCTGTAGGTAACACAAGGAAAGAAGTACTCAAGTGAAGATGTGAATTACACAAAGCGCTTGTGAACTTCGTGTTTTCTTCTTTCCTTGTGGTTTATCAGCATATATATATATATATATATATATATATATATATATATATATATATATATATATATATATATATATATATATATATATGCTGATAACCTTGATAATCACATAGGAAACAGATTAACACGAAGTTCCCAAGCCAAGCTGTTTCGTGTATTTCACATCTTCAGGGGTGAGTACAGTACTCCTCCTGGAGATGTGAAATACACGAAACAGCTTGGGAACTAGGGCCCGAATTCAGAGCAGTGATTTGAAACCGCATGAAGGTTTAAACCAAGGACCGAGAGAAGATTGAAGTTTGTTGGTAGTAAGAACGCTGGCTTGAGCCAACGCAAAGATTCAAACCGGGTTTGAGATTGGAATTGTCCATCCTCGAGTTAATCCAGCCTGGAGGCAGGTTTGGAGGTCGACCCTTCAAGCAAATCAACGTGAATTTTGGCGATATATTCAAATTGGAAATTTTGTGGAGAGAAGACTCATGGTAAATAGGCAGAATCCTATCAAATTTTATGATGACACGCAATTGAAACAACGATATAGGTTCAGCAAGGGAAATTTCCTTGATATTGTCCGTGATATGGAGCATCTACTTGACAGACCTGTTGGCTATGGTTCACCTCTACCTCCCATTCATCAGCTGGATGATTTTCTTTGAGATTCTTCGCAACGAATAGTTTCCAGGTAAGGAAGATTCTGGTTACTTAATGAGTTCTGGTAATGTGTTACAACACTTTCGTGTTTAAGGTCCATGAAGATCAAGTTGGTAAATGTAAAGAACGCTGACGTTTCTTTATTTTGAGTGTTTTTCTTTAGGAAAACTATTTTGGTGTATTTTTAATATAATTGAATCAATGCTGAGTGCATTTTGATATTAATGTATTAATAAAGGAAAGTCTTTTCTTAACATTACTAATCAGGGGAAATGTGGGGTTAAAAGAACAGAAAGAAACCTAACCTAACCTAGCCAGGTTACTACGGCCTGCATTGATTCATCTTGCTTTGGTTATGAATATTGACACCTGTCCCGGGTTATATCAACAATTTGTAGGTAATTGTTCTTCGTCTATGAATTTCTTCGTTATCATATAACAACACAGCCACGTTGTAACACAGTACCACAATTCATTATAATTTGATTGTAATCATATTAATAAAAGTAACTTATGATGTACAAGGAGAGATTTCTCCTCCTCCGTGAAAACTGTCGAGTCATACAGTTGCCGCCATAATCTTCTAAACATTACTCTCGATGGTGATTGGCTGTCGTAATGATGCAGATGAAACGTGATTGGCTGGAATTTCAGTGTTCGAATCCTTACTCGTAGCTGAAGAAAAAGAACTAGATTACCCGATTTGGGATTCAAGCCGATGTTCTGAATGTGGCTAATCCACTGCAGGAAATCTCAGATCAAGGAATCCTGATTCGCACGCCTGAGCCGAACAGAATTCAGGCCTAGGTGTTTTCTTGCTTTCTATGTGGTTATTAGCATATACATGGATCACAAGCACTTACAGTGGGAATCGAACCTGGAACTCTGGGTGTGAACAGGGATCGCTACTACTGCGCAACAAAGAAGCCAAAAGCAATCCTTGGCTTTGTTATATTTCATACAAAGCCTGTTGATCGTGCTTATGGTGTCGTGAACATCCATTGGGGATTGCCCGTGAACAAGCTTTGTGTGAAATATAACAAAGCCTAGGATTGCTTTTGATGTCCTTGTGGCGTGGTAGAAGCAATCCCTGTTCACACGCAGCGGTTCAGGGGTCGATTCCCGACTAGAGAGGTATTGTTTGTATATGGAAGTCCGCGTGCTATATATATATAATCTCATGTAGATCCACAATGGAAACGTGGATAAGATAAATCATGATAAAATCACACAGGGAAAAGGGAAACAATGGAGCGCCTTAGCTTTCGTCTTTATTCAAGACATCTTCAGAGGCATTGAATTACAAAGACTGAGAGAGACTTATGTACACAGGGTGACCTTACAAAACAGGAGGTCAGGGGAAAAAACATGACATCCACTAATCCACACACCAACCACACACACACACACACACACACACACACACATATATATATATATATATATATATATATATATATATATATATATATATATATATATATATATATATATATATATATATATATATATATATATATATATATATATAAGACTCTCAACTGAAAAGCTTAGGGCTTACATTCATTAGAGAGGCGTAGAGTTAGGGGAGATATGATAGAGGTGTACAAGTGGGTAAGTGGGATTAACAAGGGTAAAATGGAAGATGTTCTGAAGCTCAGTAATAACGAAATAACTAGAACAAATGGCTTTAAATTAGATAAATTCCGATTCAGAAAGGATATAGGCAAGCACTGGTTTGGTAATAGAGTTGTGGATATGTGGAATAGGCTACCGAGTGCTATAGTAGGATCGGGGACGCTAGGGAGCTTCAAGACGAAGTTGGATAGGCACATGGAAGTGCTGGGATGGGTGTGAAAGGGATCTGCCCTGCATGGGCCAGTCGGCCTCCTGCAGTATCCCACTTTCTTATGTTCTTATGTTCCTCCAGTGAGGAATGAAAGTCCACCATGCAGCAAACATTCCCTCCCTGGATTTCTATGCCGAGGCGCTGGAACAAATAGCTAGATGCTCTTGAATCTCTAGTGGTTTCAAAAAGCTTGGTGCCCGGCTTAATTAGAAGCTTCAGAGCTTTGGTTTCCTAGGCTCCCAGAGTCTATGACCGTTTTCTCTTTCTGATATCGATTTAGTCCCACGGTATTCCAGAGGAATACCGTAAATCCGTTCCGTCTGGGCGCTTGTTGTCGGACCTGTATAACTGCAGTTCAATGTGAGCTGGACACCCCACAATGGTTAACCCCCTTGATGATATTATTTAACTGGGTGGCTACCTTTCTATAATTTGGGCCATTTACTACTACATCCATTCTATATGATACAGTATTATGAAAGACGGTAGGAGCGCTGCCCATGTGTCTAGGGAGGCTTTACTCATACCAATTTCTCCCAGGCTCCGGAAAAATTTTAGAATTTTCAAACTAGTTTAACCTAATCTAAGGATTTTTGTAAACACAAAAGAAGATTCCTTTTAAATAGAAATATGCTCGTAAGGTCCTCACTCTGGTGGGATAAGGCAAGGACGATAAATGTATTAACCATTTATTATAATACTCAGTCTATTATCTTTTTTTTAATTAAATCTTACCATAACACTGAATTCAAATGAAAGCGTCGTAAATGATTCTAGAGGCATATATACTCACCCTGTATACAATATTTATAAGTAAAGAATATGTTCAAAGTAGTGTGACTATATTTCTTCGTGTCTTATTAATTTTTGTCCCTTTCACTCTACTATTGATTCACTCCGCGCTGTGTGATATACAATCAGTATCATTGCAACTCGCTCCATGAAATAAATCACAAAAGCAAACATAGGAAATGAAGGAAAATTAGTACGTATTTATGATTTCATATCAAATTTATTACCTTTACATCACTAAGTATTATGCTTTTACCATTAGATATAAATATTTTCAAAGGGACTACCATATCTAAACAGATTTACAACAATATTTAGTAGAATTTATCTCATTCAATACGAAAGAAAATTTAACTTAATAAGTTAACAATCATTATGCACAAATATGAAAAAGTTTAAATTACAGTAAACAAGTTTGTAAAGTGAAATAAATAAAATATTGAAACATGAAATTACTTAAATGGAAAATTATTGTGTTCACATTATCAAAAGCGATTTCCTTATACCATTGTAAAATCTGACTTGAAATATCTCGGAATTTTAAAACACAAATAGACTATTGAAGAGTAGCCACTGGTAAGGAGTGTTCTTTAGTGTCTTTTTACTAGAAATATACTTCGGTGAAAAACTAAACTGACAAACCGCAAATGATAATATATAATTTAAAAATTATTAATAAATGACAGGATTCCAAACAATATTTCATTATAAGATGCATGTATTCTTGTACTTCAGATAATTAGAATTAGCAAAGTTGTATCCATGGTAAGGCCAGTGTAGGTAAGAACCATATGTTGAGTTTGTCTGCGGGTGTGTCACTAAAGCTGGGACAATTGCCGTTTTTCTTTTATCAAGTTCCATTCGGAATTTACCCCTTCGAGGTTTGTTGTTGACATTGCCTTGATATTGCCATCGTTTAATCCATCTGTACACTGTAGTGATGCTTACATCGGAATTTTCTGCAATATCTCGGACGGACATACCTCCCACCCACATCCACACCAGCTTGAAGCGCTTAACCAAGTCTGTTGGTGCTTTTATGTTCCTGCGCTTCATCGTCCTGTGTGAGATAAAATTTCAAAAGTCATTTCACGTTTCTGTTATTTATCTGGTGGCTAATGACATTTTTCCATCTTATAAGAAGAAAGAACATAAGAAAATATGGAGTCTGCAATAGGCGGGTTGGCCTGTGCATGGCAGCTGCTATCCAGAGTTACTACCACTCCACTCTATACACTAATTAATTTTATCTTTTCTTTGATACGACAGTGCAGCTATCTTTAGGTAACGAAACTGACCAATAAAACGTTTGAGCTTAAAATATTTACGATTCGACCTACAGCTTCAGTCTTGTGGGCCTGGCCTAACCAAGCTCCACGGAAGGTCCAAATAGAATGGACATTTCTTTTTTTATAATTATCTTTAAATTCAGAATCAAAACAAAAATAAATTCCACAGAACCTTGTGCGCCACAAGGACAATACAAGTGATCCTACACGTTGATTATTTTATATAAAACCTGTTCATTCGTCTTTTTTAAGCGCCGTGTGCCTCCAGCGGGGGCTGCCCGTATCAACTACTTGGCCGTAGTAGCATTTTACCTAGTCCAGCTACGAAACACGAGGCTACATATAAAGTATAACACATCAGTCCATATAGCAGTGGTAGCGATCCCCGTTCACACGCAGAGGTCCAGGGTACGATTCTCGACTTGTGAGGTATTGTTTGTATGTGGAAGTCCGCTTGCTATATGGACTGATGATATATAATTATGTTAATATTTCTATCAACAAACAATACAAACGGATTTAACCCATAAGAAACAGTATACAGTATGTGATTTCGTAAGAGCTTACCGACTTAGCAGAGGTTGTAAGAGGGAAGGAAGAAGACTTGTTCACACTCCTCCGTGCTGAGCAAGAGTGAGGTGCAAGCTGAGTGGGACCATGGTTTTAATTGTGTACCAACCTCAGTTGACATTTCATTGGCCTATGTCATAGGATAAAGCCAATGTGAAAAGTTTTTAATCAACGTATGCCTTTTACTGTCAGTAAGTTGGATTGATAATAAATGGCTTTCTTAAAGTTCAGTAAACTAAACATAAGAACATAAGAATGGAGGAAACTGCAGCGCACCTATTGGCCCATACTGGGCAGTCCCGTCTACACCCAACCCCTATTGCTCATATAAGCATCCAACCTATGTTTGAAACAATTCAGCGTATTCGAGTTAATGATGATATTTGGTAACTTGTTCCATTCATCCACTACTCTGTTTCCAAACCAGTGTTTACCTATTTCACGCCTAAATCTAAATTTGTCTAATTTAAAACCATTGTTACGAGTTCGCTCCTGGTTGGATAGTTTGAGTACCTTTGTAATGTCCCCTTTGTTTAGCCCTGCCTTCCACTTATACACCTCTATCATCATATAAACAGAATTATATATTTATATACAGTTTACCTTATAAACAATATTATGTTACAGACTCTTTCAGTTTTGCTTAGGAACTAACCAGCATCTCGTTCAACAACTGTGTTATGGCTAGCTTTGATATTATACAGTCTCTATTTACCAACATTCCTCTTGCCGAAACTATTGACATATGTACAGATGAATTGTTCTGATATATAGATATAGTTGATGGATTAGTTAAACCACAATTTAAAGAATTTTTAAAATTGGCTGTAAATGATTGCTATTGCTATTTAATAACAAAGCTTATAAACAACGTGATTGTGTTGCTATGAGTTCACCCTTAGGTCCCACGTTGGCCAACGCTTTCCTCTATCACCACGAGTTTTGGCTAATTGAATGTACCGCCCAATTTAAGCCTTTGTTCTATCGATAATTTAATGTGTTGAAGACACATTTTTTATTTTCAGATCACTTGATCACTTCCCCGTGTCCTTAAATTACCTAAATTCGAAGCATGACAATATCAAATTTACTTGTGAATTAGTAAAGGACATTATTCTACCATTTCTTGTTATTAATATCCACCGTCTTCATAATAGTTTCGAGACAGCCTTATACAGAAAACCAACAGTCACAGGTTTGAGGTCAAAATTTTGATAATTCATTCCTCTTAATTACTAACGAAATCTTGTGTGTACTCTTACCGACAGAGCCTTTAATAAATGTTCAAGCAACTTCCACCCGGATATTGAACTGAAATATATGAGTTCCATAAGAGATTTACATATACTCATATAGGGAAAATCCTAAATAGGATTTTTGGTCCCATACAGCCTGAAGTCCACACAGGCTCACTTAAGAAGCTTCTCAGTGAATTCTGTCCACAAATCTCTCTTACACTCGTCTTCAAATTCCAGAGTTCAATTAAAAAATCTTTAAAACTAAAGACAGAGGAGGGTGAGATCAAGTCCACGATGGTCAGGTATTAGGTAATGACCCTACTAATCTTCAAAAAGCACCACAGCAGTCGGTAGTCAGGTCAGAGGGTAAGATGACCCAACCTTCTCACCTGGTTAAAAATCTTCATAATTATGAAATTATCCAGTTTGTACATACCATTACTCAAATTCATGTTGACGGATTCGGTATGTTTAATGAGACTAGATTCTATAAAGTTCCTACTGTCAATTGAATTACAAGATAATATTGAGGCGGCATTATCCCAGTCAATGCAATGTTTATTATCCCTCAAATGAACAAACAGAGCATTGGATTCCTGTCCTGTCCTAATGCTACATTTATGTTGTTTAAGTCTGGTCTAAGTAGAACATATTACATTCCTTGCAAGGAACCTTATTAATGTAGCCACCTGTATTGTTGGGGGAGTTCTTGATTAACATTTGTTTAACAGTGCATGAGTTTTTATATGCCGCATTGACGTTCCAGATTTTTAGTTGTAAAGGAATTTGAGAGAAATTTTTACGAAATGGTAATACTAAGAGATTCTTATGGTCATAAGAACATAAGGAGTCTGCAATAGGCCGGTTGGCCTGTGCATGGCAGCTCCTGTCGAGAGTTACTACCACTCTCTATCATCCATGAATCTATTTAGCCTCCTTTTCAAACTTTCCAGAGTTCCAGCACTTACTACAAAGTTGCTAAGTTTGTTCCACTCGTCCACCACCCTATTTGTGAACCAGTTTCTTCCTATCTCCCTCCTAAACCTAAACTTATCCAACTTAAATCCGTTGCTCCGAGTCCTATCCTGCTCGGATATTATAAGAACTTTATCTATACCCCCTTTATTGATTCCTTTCACCCACTTAAATACTTCTATCAAATCTCCCCGCACTCTTCGTCTTTCTAGGGAATGCAAGTTAAGTTTCTTTAAACTATCCTGATATGGAAGGTTTCTAAGTCCCGGAATCATTTTCGTCATTCTTCGCTGCACCGACTCTAGTGAATTGATATCCATTCTATAATAACGGCACCAGAACTGAACCGCATAATCGAGGTGCTGCCTGACTAGCGCAAGATATAGTTGGAATAAAACCTCTGCACTCTTATTACTTACGCTTCTAGATATAGAACCCAATACTCTGTTTGCCTTATTTCGAACATTAACGCACTGTTTTCTAGGCCATAGGTCCGGTCTTACAAGTACCCCTAGGTCTCTTACAATTACCACTAGGTCATGGGTGGGCTTGGGATCGGTTCTATAGAAAGATTTCTTAGTAATGTGAAGGCATTAGTATATGAAAGATCTAGGGTACTTAAGGTTCAAGCCAATATTATAGATATATTTATATTCCTCATCAATGAATTCCGGGCTGCAAATTCTCAAAGCACGTAAAAACAGTGATGAAAATACTGACGTTTGACTCTATTATAGTGGGCAGAATAATAATGAATGTATGAACACACATTAGTAGGTTTCCTATAAATACTGAACTTAAAGGTGTTACCTATTCTGTCGCGCGTCAGGTCAGGTCAGGTCAACACGGCTGGCCAGACATATTCTCCGATCTAAAGTGTTATTGGTGGGGACATACTCGCTGTGTGGGAGCGGGAATTTGACAATGTGTCCGTGAATATCGGATGTCACCTTAAGCATTGCCACCCAAGGTTTCTTCTCATCCCCGACGGCATAAATTGTAAATATTCCGTGTGTTCACCGGCGTTCTCCAAGTGAGTGGTGACCCATTGCTGGGTCAGTGGTGGGATAATGAGGAGGCTCGGTGCTAAGGTCAGTGTCGTTAGGCCTGCTTTGACAGGGGTGGTCCCGAGACTATCGCCCCTATGGGGCCGAGAGTGCTGCCCATGCGGTCGCCCCCACCCCCACCTCCACCATAGTAACGGACACTTAATGTAGGGTCTCGACGAACCAAGTGAGGATGGTCTGAGGTGTTACTTTTTTACTTTACTTTTATCCTCTTCGCCACTGATCGGCTTGTTAGCCCGCCAGGCGATCGGTCTGACTCTTTTTCCTTTATATTCTTCACCAAGGTCGGCTCTTCCAATACGGGCGATCAGTCGTCTCTGTGTCGCACTGTTGGCGATACTGAGCCACCGGCTCCTGAATTATTACCTGAACCCGCTCCAGTGTTGGTCAAGTCTTCTCTTGAAAAGAGCTCACACTCGGTGCCGTCTGCTTACTTTCTGGTAGATTGTTCCAGAGTTTACAACCCTCCTCCGAAAAGTTTGCCCTCCCGGTTTCCGGACTGCAGCTTCTATTCAATCTTGAGCTGCTTGTTACTATTGGGCGAGCGTCCGCCAGCTCAAGTAAGGACACTCAACTGAGTAGTGCCCCTGAGATGTATAAACCTCAACTAGGTCCCCCTTGCCGTCTGTAGTATAAGCTGGAAGCAAGTTCAGGCGCTCCAATCTCGCAGGGTAGCTGAGATGCTTGAAGTGCAGGCACCAGCTTGGTGGCCCTCCTTTGAAACATTTTCAGCCAACTGACGGGTCCCCTGGCATCTCGAGGACCCAGATGGAGATGACAGTACTCAGATGGGGAAGCACTTCCTCCTGAAGATCTCGTCACGAGGACGGACCCGTCTAGATATCTGAACGACCTTCTTATAAGACCCAATAATTTATTTGCCTGATTTACCTTCTTCTCACAATGTTGAGAACTTCAGCTCATTGTCAACATACACCCACCTAGGTCCTTCTCACACACAGTCTCCAACCAAGTACATTTTCTTCATCCCGTTGGGACATATGGTACGCCTCCTTACCCGTTAGTACGCCCAGGAGGCCCTCCTACCCTCACACCGTTGATGTCAGGCTCCTCTCTTCCCTTGTCCTAGAAGAGGGTTTACGCCTCAAGGACATCGCTGGCCCACATGTCGCCTCTGTGCCCCAGTGTATATGACCTAGATTCCATCTAAATCTAACCATGGCAGGAGTCATCGCTGGGCGGCGCTCTGCCTATGTCCTTGATGAAGAAGATGAGGAGGACAGTCATAGCGACACTGAAGCTGGCTTTCAGAAGTTTCAGACACGTCAGCAGAAACGCAAGATGAGGACCCAGGGAAGGAAGCAGAGGAGAGCCAATAGGGGCATCCCCCCCCCCCACTCCCATTGCTCCCCGGGCTAAGTACATGCGCCTTGCCTTCCCCGAGAACGCAACCAATTTGATGAAGATTAATTGGTTGACTGCCCTGAATAAGGATTATGGCATGGCTAAGCTGAATGTTGTCGTGCCAGGTAACACCCCTCGTTTTGTCTATGTAGGCCGAGAGGAGACAGAAGCTATCCAACGCTTCATTGATGGTAGGGTCGGTTCAATACACCTTATTAAGCGAGATGAACCTGTTCGACCTCAAAAAATGAAGGAATACCTTGTCACCCAATTCCCCAAGGGTATTCCTCCCAAGAGAGCTCTGTCACTCCAGGGTGTCCACAGTGCAAGAAGACTCTATAAGGATGGTGCACAACTTAGTAGGATCATCATTGTTTGGAAAAGGAAGGAACCACCTCCTGAGAAGTACAGCTTCTTTGGCAGCACGTAC